TGAGCGGCATGCAAGGTAGGAGCGGCAAAGGGGCGCCGCCTGTTGCCGCTGAGTGGCGCCGCCTGTTGCCGCTGAGTGGCGCCGCCTGTTGCCGCTGAGTGGCGCCGCCTGTTGCCGCCGGCGGCCCACTCAATATCGATTGAAAGCCATATATGACATATTGTTCACAGGCTGAAGTGGATTCTGATGCGTGAATCTGGTAAATTATATCACAAGTACCCATATGCTGAGCCATATTTGGAATACTGTGTTGCGTACACTCTCGTTATATACTTAAGTTATAACTCTCGGGTGGTAACCGTCCCCATATATGTTATATGTCATCACATATAACATGGAGAGAAAGGTTGCCTACGGGCAGATATATTCCCCTTAACGGCAGCTAATGTCATATTTGATATTCCTTACTGTCTATTGCTGGACTAAACAATCTCAAAATGAGTATTACATATTGCTTTGGCTGTATATTACTTCTTACGGTTTGACATTCACGACCGGGTTCAGGTCAGCATCATATATTGAGTTGTCCGATGTGGCACGAGCCGGAGCTTGAGTCACGTGACCTTCGTGGGGGTGGGTTGAAGGACCGATGGTGAGCGAAAATGTGCACAGCCACTGGTGCATCACCGAAATGAACCCCAAGGTACGAGATTAGATAATCAGCGAGTCTAGATTTGACGTTAATCATGACCCTGTTTGTCGCAAACGTCGCCACCCAAACTCGCGGCAGGCTTGCCATTTTTCGTCTGGGCACATCAATTCCGGACGTTTTGCCTCGAATAGGCTGTCGGAGCCGACCATTCGTTGGTTGCCGGCGGTCCCTCCTCGTCATTCACCCTCGATTTGAGGGTAACCTGGTCGCGCTCACGTGAAGAGCGCGCCCCGTCCTGGCAATATTTTCTGTTCGGGATTCGCCCCGAAGTTTCATCAAACAACAAAGCTGCCGTTCCGCTCACAGTAACGGATAGGTCTGCAAAAACGCGAGAACGGTGCGTTTGTCATATCCCGCAAAAGATATAAAAGAGCTCGCAAAATGTCCATGTTCTTCACGAGTTCTACTCGCCTCCCACCCCTCCGTCTTCACCCCCCCTCGCTGTTCTCCAGCTCTCCTTCATTTCGCCCTCCTCGTCGAACCCTTTAATCTCCACTTTCACAATGGTCCGCCTCGCTCTGTTCACCACCGTGGTCGCTAGCGTTCTCGCGGCTTTCGCCTCCCCAGTCCCCGCTGAGGATGCTACCACGCTTGAAAAGCGAGTAACCCACTCGGGCCGTGTATGTTTCCCCCTTGTCTTCAACGTGAATGGAGCATTGACCTGTTTATAGGGCACCTGGTTCGACGTCGGCCTTGGCGCCTGCGGAGAATACAACGTGAACAGCGACCACATCGTCGCCATCTCTGCCGCCCGTTGGGGCACCGGCGCTAACTGTGGTCAATGGATCCACATTACCAACACCGCCAACGGCAAGTCCGCCTACGGTTTAACCCGTGACCAATGCCCGGGCTGTGGTGTCGACGACCTTGGTATCTCTATTCAACACACGAAGTATATGTGCATAACGCTGATCTCTTCTCTCTGCAGACTTGTCGCCCAGTCTCTTCCAGGAGCTCGGTACCCTTGACCAGGGTGTCCTATCCATCTCCTGGCACTTCGAGAACAAGGCGTTCTCCCCATGAGCGCCTTCTCGTCGCTCCCGCCATAGACGTCTTCCGACCTTTCTTCATTCTTCGGGCATTCTTGGGCTCTTGTTATTTATAACTTCCGCAGGTGGGAAGCACGATGGTGACATCGACATCCGTATGTAAAACGTCATTCTTGACACGGAGGGGTCGAAGAAGACTATAGAATGTAGAAGCAGCCAATCTTGTAGCACTAACTGTTATTCGCGTCCTTTATGTGTATGTAGCACCGGGCTTGGAGAGCCCCAGAGGCGCCTGCTTTGCCTCTCTTCTGGTAGATCACTAGAGGCATATATATGTTATATTCTCTGTACGACCTTTGTACACGTGTATCTCCTTATGCCAACTTTGCTATGCATTTCATGTTCTCGTGCATCTTATTCTCGCTCAATCTCTAACTCGACGCTCTGAGCCAATTGCTCTAAGGAACATCGGAAGGCGCTGCTAGGCTTCTATTCCGAAGTACGAAAGCGTACCCGCTCAATTGACTAGCTCACGTCATGTCAAAAGCCAAACGGAGCGCCTCATTAAGCGCAGACAATATTTCCCGGACCACGACAAAATCCGAGGAGGCCCGCATGTCTTTTACGTGTATAACGGCACCGTAACCGTGAGTATACTGCCCGCAGTGGGCGTCGTAACCTATAATTCAAAGGGGCTGGGAAAGCGCCCGTTGCTGACTGGTAATATATCCCATACCACGGGGTGTATTGAGAAGCGCGAATGACAGGCCTAGAGTTGCCCCGACAACCCCAGCGGACGATGACGGTACTCGAAATTCCAAGAATGTCAATGCAGGGTAATCTCAGCCGTACGCTCAGCCGTACGGCAAGCGCTTGCAGGGCAATAGAACCGGGGGGGGGAGGAGGGGCAACACCAGGCCAGCGTGCATGCGCCTTAATGAACGGGCCTACCTGACAGATATCTTCATACGAGGGCAATTGTATCCCTACGGCAGGTGCAGCTGAGAGAACTTCATCAAAGCTTAAGCGAAGTTCGCAACCGGAGAGGTACGGTCTCCCTAAAGCGCAGGATCAACAAGGGAGAAAATGAGTGGTTTACAGACCTTTGGTGCCATAAGCATACAGACTCAATTACAATGCATCATTTCCGCGGAGGAAGAAAGTGCCAGGAGTTGGGAATAGTGTACAAGTGTGCGAAGGGGTGGGGGAAGGGGGCAATCTACGCAGGCTCTCACGAGCGCAATCAGCCTCCTCACGCCCACCCACCTAGCTCGATAGCAAAAGCGACCGCAAGCTTCGAGAGGTCTCTGGCGTGCTCGAAGCTGAACTCCGGAATATCCATCCGGTCGTTCGGGGTGTGCATATACGGGTCAACCAATGTCTTCGGATCAGCCTCGGTGCCACAGGCAGCAGCGTAGCCAGCGGCACGCCAAGACATGTGGTCTGAACCTGCACCCGCGAAGAGGTCCTTGCCTATATCCACATCAGCATATAAACATTACGGCTTGCAGTAGGCGCATATAGCCTCACCTTGAACTGGTATATCAACATAGGCCTTAGCCAAGGACAACGCGTACTGAGTCAGGGTTGGGTCCACGTCGCTCGTGATCATAGTAAGCGTAGGCGTCGTCCCATTCTTCACGTATGCAGTCATATCGTAGTGAAGCATGCCTCGGACGTCCCGTGCGTCGCGCTCAAACTGAGCGACGACGTCCCGGGAACCCAGCAAGCCGCCTTCCTCCGCAGAATACCAGTGAAACTCCACCGGATACAGCGGAGTAAAGTTGCTAGCCACGAGCGAGCGGAACGCCTCGAGGATCGTGACGGTCCCGCTTCCGTCGTCGTCAGCGCCGGGAGCACGGAGCAGGGGGAACCATTGGTTGATTGAGTCCAGGTGGGCGCCGATGACTACCGTGGCGCTGTACTCGGCAGTCAAGTTGGTCGGCTCGAAACGCGCGACGATGGACGATTGCTGCCAGGAGTGCTTGAACTTCTGCACCAAGACATGCGCGGAGGAGGGCTTGGCCTCCTCGATGATCTATATGCGACACATTTATAAGCAGGCGAGTGACATGAATGGCATACGCACGCCGGAGACCTGGCTGTACAGCCAGTCGCTGGCTTTCGCTCCATTGTCGCTCTTGTAGTAGCGGTTGTAGAAGCCCGTGAAGATCTCGAGGACGTCATGCATATTGTCAGTCGACAACTTCGAGATTACATCTTCGACCTCACTGCGGTACGAGATCTCCGGATACTTAGTACCTAGACCCGGGGCGCATTAGCTCTCCCCGCCCAGGAGTAAGTCTATGCGCGCATACCAGCAGCACCGGTCAGCCTCCGCGCATTTCTCGATCCAAGGTCTTGCGTTTCGGTAAGGTCGACGAACTTAAGCCCGGCCCGTCTCAGGCGCAGTTTATCCCCTTCCGTCATCCACGTCGGAGGATTTCCGTCCCCAGCAATCTGTAGCAGACGCGGTTCGTCCAGATCCGCGGCACCGGCTGGGTCGACCGCCCTATACAGCACCACTGGGTCGTCATGAGACAGCGAGAGTTGCTGCACCAGCTGGTCTACTAGTATTGAGTCGAGAATGACGGAGGCGGCGTTGTCCAGCACAACCTGAGGGTCAGCTGCAGACGCGAGTCGGGAGACGGCGGCCAAGGCCCATGGGAGGAATACGCCGTTGACTTTCATTGTAGACGGTGACAACAGTCAATTACGAGAAGCTGTTCCACACCCCAGCAAGTGCAGCGCTGAGGGTGTCGTAACGCCACCTTGGCAGCAGCTGCCTGCATTTGGTCAAAGGGAGAAGCGCCGTGCGAGTAACATACTGAGTCAGACTGAGTCGAGCCTTATGTTTTGGCCCGCTTTCCGTCCTGAGTGGCTGGAATGCTTTGAACCGAGGTTCGTGGCTGGATATAGTGCTGTATGTTGTTCGGGCCGTACATTTATGGCTCTGGTGGAGCAATTCTTAGGAAATGCAATCAACATCTCCTGAACAAGCTCTTAATACATGAAGCATCATTATCTGGAATCAAGGCCGAACTATTGTACAATGCTCTCCTGCAAGCAAAGCAGAAAGCGACCATGCAAAGATTAGTATCCCTTCCTGTCGTAAGAATCGTATCAAACAATAACAAAGTGAAATCCGTCACATGTCCTCCATAACATCCATCAGGCTAGGACCAATAACGAGACGGTCATGACACCGAGTGCTGACGCGAAAAGCGTCCTTGCATTAGATGTCCTTAACGCAGCATTGGTAGTTGCGTTCGAGCCCGGGGACTGCGTCGCAGGGGCCGAAGACGAGGACTCCGAGTGCGTACTGGACGTACTGCCGAGAGTAAAGGAAACGACCGAGGAAGCGGGGATGGTGGTTGTTTCAACTGAACTGGCGGTCGTAGTTGTCAACGTGAGGCTCGGCGCAGAGGAGGTGGGCGACAGAGTGGTGGGTGAGGGGGAGACGGTGGAGACGGCGGAGCTAGCGATAGAGGAGGCAGATGCTGAAGCCGACGAGGATGAAGCGGAGCCGCCGTTAATCGTGAACTGAGGGCTAGCATTTCCAGAGTCGCCCATGACTGTGAAAACCAGCTTTAGTGGCTGTCCTGGTGGGATGACCAGCGACGCAATACTCACGAACAACGATGTAGGTGCTCCGGGCGGGAACATCTGGAACGGTGATTTGGACCTTCCCATCGGTCAAGTTGAAGCCGCTCGCCAGGGGACTGTCTGTCGAATTAAAAGGGAAGTGTTAGTTGATTTGATCTCGTAAAGGTCAGTTGAACACGACGTTTTTGACAGATGGTAACTTTTCGTGCGACAGAACTCAGGCTGGAACATAAGATGAACAAAACTTACCCAAGAACAAATGCTCTCCGGGACTGCTAGGGTCCAGATACCCCAAGACAGCCTTGCCCGTATAACTAGTGACCTGTGCAGGCTTGCTCGACGTATCCCTAAAAATAGCCACGACAATCAACGACATGCAAAACCGCGTCAAACGCGCTTCTCATAAAGCCGGACAACTAACCAAGTGATCGTCTGCGTCTCCCCCACGTTCCACACCGTCCCGCTCGTCGGACTCGTCACAGGGGGATCCCAGACATCGCGCGCCACCAAAGGCGCAGCGCACGTGAAGCCTACGAAAAGGAGAAACGAAAAGATCATAGAGTTCATAAATTGGGAGAACATAGTGTCTGGAAGCGCGGGGAACGAGGCGACCTTGGGACGTGAGCCTGGGGAGGTGACACCTTGCGCTCAAGGAGCGAGTTCCAGCGGAAGCATCAACTTATAGGCTCTGATGCTCACGTGGCAGGGCGGATCAGCTTCTCTGGCAGAAGAAGCTCGCGCTACTTTTGTACTTCCCCTCCTCAGCACCGGATATTTGCCAGAATGCACATCTCTAATCTGTATGCGGTGAGCCTCAGTTTACGATGAATAAGCGGCTGCCACGAGCAATGGCGCATTGACGAAAGTAAACTGTGGACAACAGAAGCAAATTAGGCGATAAGTCAGCCTTGCGGGAAATGACAAGCAGAAGTCCTAATTCAAGTATTGTGGCACAGTGTGTCCCGGTCACTATCACTGCGGGCAGAAACCAATGTCCCGCAGGTGGGCATGCCAGGAACATCTCCCTGATGGGAGAACACTTTCCTAGAATGGTCATTGCTGGACCATAACCTGGACATGAAGAATGAACAAAGAAAGGTCTGCAGGACATTTACTATGGTCCCCAAAAATCAGGGGACATTTGATTAACATTGTCCTTGCTCGTGCAATACACGTACCAGCTCCGACAGCTCAGCAAAATGACCTATGGCCTACCACCGAAAGCAGCCTGCCAACTTTATACGACCGTCGGAGTCCCCAAAGCAACGTACTCAGCCGCAGCGTGGTACACACCTGTCCTCAAGCACGCTGGCCATAAACACTGCATGGGATCAGTCGCAGTCACTCGACGCCTTGCCACAGTACAGCGATCCGCAGCCGCCTGCATCACAGGTGTGTTGAGAACCACTGCTACTGACATGTTAGACGCACACGCGAACCTATGGCCGATCCACCATTGCCTGAACCTGATCTGCCACCGCAACACGCTCTGCCTTGCCACTCTGCCCGATTCGCACCCACTCCGGCCCTACGTCAAACGAGCCGCCCGTCGCTATGTCAAGCGCCACCGGTCCCCACTCCATGAGCTCTTCCACTACTGCAGGATCAACCCCGAAGCCGTCGAGACGATTGACTCTGTTGGCCCACCGCCCAACTGGGGACCATCCTTCAAGACCCAAATCACGGGCAATCAGGATGCCGCTATAGCAGAAGAAGCGGCTATTGCGAATGATCCAATCCGAATCTATTTCGATGGCTCTGGATACCAGGGAAAGGTAGGCGCTGCAGCTGTACTACTAAAACCACATTGCCCTCCAAAGGTACTACGCTACTGCCTCGGCTCATCTGACAAGCAAATCATCTATGGCGGTGAAGCTGTTGGTGTCATGCTTGGACTTGAACTACTCCGACAGGAACCTTGGCTACGCAGAACAATCTGCATCAGCCTCGACAACACGGCAGTGATCCAAGCCCTCCCATCCCACAACCGCCGACCGGGGTTCTACCTCCTTCAGCTCATTTGACGTACTACCTGCCAACTCAAACAGAAGCATCGCTCGCTAGACATTGTCATCCGATGGACACCAGGACACAAGAACATCAAGGGGAACAAACTGGCAGACACAGAAGCTAAGAAAGCGGCTGAAGGGAAGACCAGCCCGCCCAAGAACCTCCCAAAGGTCCTACGCAAGCATCCCCTACCCCTTAGCGTCTCCGCCATCAAACAGGCCTTTACTGCCCAGATCAAAGCGGAATGGCAGGAGGAGTGGAGAAAATCACCACGCTACGCAAAAGCCAATGCCATTGATAACAAACTCCCCTCATCTTCTTTCCTTGACCTCACAAAGTCACTGACCTGCCCGCAGTCACGGTCCTCTATCATTATGCTGTTCCGCACAGGACACATCCCGCTGCATGGCTACCTCCACCGCATAGGCAAGCGTGATGACCCCGACTGTCCGCACTGCCCTGGTGTCAGAGAAGACGTTCGCCACTTCCTCTTTGATTGCCCAAACTACCAACTCGCTCACCACTCCCTTTGGAAGACACTTCTCCGGGCAGCTACCAACCTCGCTGTCCTGTTATCACGCAATGTTAAACCACTCCTGACCGTGAGCTGTTGGAACCGGTATAAGTATGTGTGATGACCATGGCCTTGCAGGCCCACCGACGCAACCCCCATCCAATATAACAACCCAAATAATAACTCTACTATGAACTCTAATTCTCAACAACCTATCTATATTCGGGATGCTCAAAGCGAGGGGTACTGCTACAACTCCAGGTCTCTCTTCTTTGGGGGCAATGTAGGCCCAACAGGCTCTGGCGGATGAGTCCGGTAGCTTTTCCCCACAGGGATTTTTGATGCACCCGGGTGATGACTCCAACCACTGTCCTACTTTTATTTTTAAAACCTCACGCCTACCCGCCACCGCCGTTATGCTTCTAACACAGGTATCCCACGCACTCCGCACCTCAACCAAGGGGGAGCTACGCATTGTTTAAGTTCATCTCTCTCAACGTCTAAAAGCGCCGCCAGTAGATACATGCATGTAACGTCCAACATAGGGCTTCGCCCTAGGGACACCAATTGGATTTTAATAAAAACAATTAAAAAAAACATTGTCCTTTCATTCTTTATGTCTGTATCATGTTCCGCTACGGAGCATCCTAGGAAAGTGTTCTCCCACCCTTGCCGTGAAAGATGAATGACCAGTGGCAGGACACCGGTTCTTGCCCGCTGTGTATTGCAGAATATTGTCAAGCAATTGGGCTTCTGCCACATCTGTCCATACGCCACATTTCCCGTTATGGTTTCATTCTTGCCGTATTCGTCGCAAGCTAACTATTGAAGGAGGGTCAAGCCTTCAAGTTCTTAGAGCCGCAGTAGAACGATAGGAATGAAATACATGATAACATGTGTCCCTTAACATTACAGTGGGGCTGAGAGAGGACTTATCCAACCTCAATATCGCTTCTTACTCGCCCCGAACAACACGAGATTCAAAACTACCGAGAACGTACCGAGAGCGTAGAACGCACGACGTACCCGAAGTCCTGAACGTCGGACGAGCCTTTCTCCTGGCATTTAGAAACTCGGGAAGATGTAGAGTGGGAACGTGCATGTTTCACTTCAATCAGCGAAAGCAATTCGCATTAAAGGCAGGTACTATACAGCTACAAACTAACTAAACCGTCCCATTTCGAAAGCAACAGTGCGTCAAGGTCCATTAGTTGTACAGAGGTGCAAAGTGTGCGAAGTCCGGATCGTGAGTGTCGTTAGATGAGTGTCCGGGAATTCATTTTAGTTCAGTGACTACCGAGGCGTTTTGAGTGCCAACAGCGGTTTAGTTAGTGATGGTGAATTCAGGGCTGTAGTTGCCCGAGTCTCCGAACACTGCGGAAGACGTGTTAGAAACATAGCTCAGCAGATCCGAGTGCACGAGAATATACTCACAAACTATGGCGTAGTCGTCACCAGGGTCAACGTTCGGGACAGTGATCTCGTGAGTCCCGTCCAAAATGGAGAAGTTGGCAGCAAGGGGAGAGTCTGCACGGCGACATGTTAGAAATCGCATAAGGGCGATAAGCAAGTCCTCTACTCACCATAGTCCAAAGCAATTCCACCCTTGGCCAAGACGATCATGCCGTACTTGTTAGTGATGTTGACGGGCGGGTCAGACGTATCCCAAGTAACGTTGTAGTTTTGTCCAATGTGCCATACTGTCCCGGCAGTGGGGTAGGTAACAGGCGGGACGTACACATCCCTAACCGAGACCGGGAGGGCAGAAACCATAGTGAAGAAGGAGACGATGAAGGAGATGAGGGTCATGATGGGAGTCGTGAACATCATGATGGTGTCGCGAGAAGAGGTGTTTTTTCGTGAGCGTGGAGGGGCTTGTTCAAACAGGAAGTGAATCCGTTCGATGAGCCCTCTCGCAGACCCAAGCCACCTATTTATACAGAGCAGCCTCGGCAGACAGGAGGCCGAATGGGAGCGTATGAGGTAATCGGCGGTGCCCGATCCCCGGCGCTAATTTCATGCGGGCGCGCCACAGCGCGTTATGGGCTCCTTTGCCGAGGCTGTCCCCACTCCAGAACGTCCTCGCTCATTTCATTACCGTATTGCACCGCGATGACTCCCCCGGATGGCATACAAGACGGTCAGAATGCTGCGGCGTGAATGGTCTCTGCGCATACTGTCCTGGCTGATGACTGGCAGCTGTCAGCGGATACATCAGGTTCGCGAAGAACGGATCCCGGGCTCGGTGTAAGAGGCGAAACAATCGTTCGTACTGCGACTGCGTGCCGGTCAAGATGCTGGAAATTTCTTCAATTTTCTTGGCTGCTTGTGCCGCATACCGCGGCGGTACTTACTGCTCTTCTGGCCAATCCTTCCGCAAGAAGGTCTGAAAGAGCTGCAAGCGCAAGCGTGAATGGCCCCATGATCGGTTTTCGCTTCACAGAAGCATCGGATATCCTGCAAGCCATGCACGCCTGGGCGATAAGGGTCCAACAGATGCTTTCGTTCGTACGTCCTGGGGCTGGATAACTGCCTAGCGTGCTCGAGAATGCTCACGAATAGGTCTCGGGATGATACTTCGCATGGCGGCGGCGTCTTCCCCACTGGAGTACACTCTATAAGCAGTTCTGACGAAACTACTCTTGGCTCTATTGTCTTGCGGCTATCGTCTCTTGTCAATGCCATCAGCACCTAGTTTGGCTCTATTGTCTTGCGGCTATCGTCTCTTGTCAATGCCATCAGCACCTAGTCTGGGGGCTCTTTCTGCGTGTGCGGACGGGTTCTCAGCCCCTCGGCGGTCTTGATACTTCAAGGCTTATCCTTCAACACCTCAGCTAGGGACACCTGCTTGACCCTCCATCTTCACCGTCAAGGATCAACCTCGCATATTAACGGAACGTGGGCAGGCTCCTGCGCACTCTGTGAAGAGCCTTCTCCACGCTGCGTTGGTGTGTCGAGTGACGTTGATCCACGATATCATGCAATGCAAGGCCGAGCCTCTTCATCTCAATTGCACCAACAATGTAGAGTGTTGCGGTGCGCCATTGAGCAGTCAAAGGACGAGAGCACGCAGGACACGAGAGTAACTCTAACGCAATCGCAATGGTAAGTGATGTGGTCCATACTCTCTTGATGTAATCTTTCTCCGAGCAGTTATAATCGAGAATCGGCTCCCACCACATAGGACCCTGGTGGTTCCGATGGAATGAAAGGGTGAGACCGACGATTCGGTTCCTTGCATCTCGGGACAGAGATGGGTGTGCGCCGGATACGCCAATAGCAAGGTGCGTGTCGGAGGACGGACAGCTTTGAATGATACCCTGCTGCGCGCCGCTGCTTGGCTTATTGCATATGCTTCGGCGTGGTACACCGAGGTATGGCGCCCAATACAGATGGTCTGAGAGACAATCCGGGCGGAATAGTCAACTCGGTGTTTAAGAACGTCCTGAATCACAGACGGTATCGACTTACCTCGACTTAGCGTAAATATGCGTATAACGACCATAGCGCAGTATTCACGATACAGGTCTTCGAAGATTCCCTCTCCTACCCCTGGGCTTCGGCTCCACCGCCATCCCCTCCTTCTTAATCCCAACCTCGCTCTTCGTCCTGACCTTGCTGCCGACAGGCAAGGCACCCAATATCACGCTGACAATCCCCGCGGCAACGCCTCGCGAAGCAAGCCCCACCAGCGCGCCGCATATACACGCAACGCCTACTAGTAAATAAATCGGGTACACTTGCTCAGCGAGGTATTGGATTATCGCCAGCGGCGTGCGGACAAAGACGTCGAAGACAATGTATAGGAAGAGCACGAATGGCGCGAGGATGTAGGAGAGGGGGCGATAGAGTAGGTGGTAGATGGGCGTGAATACGGCTGTGAACAGGGCCCTGAGGACGGAGAGGACGGAGGACGTAGTAAGGGAGAGGATGGAGATGACATGGGCTATTGGGGGTTGCGTCGGCGCCGGCGAGAGCGAGCTTGCTAGCACGATTGGGCGCGTTGTGGACGCGAGCGTCGTAGCCATAGCTGTCGCCGTTGGTTGAGACAACGAGTGGGGAAGGCGCTCCTCCACGTGGAGTGCGATCACCGTCCTAAATGCGTCCGTTCGATAAGGGGCACGTCGCCGAATCGCAGCCGACGGCCACGACGAGTAAAAGTGCAAGATGAGCTCATCGTCAGAGCTCATTAGCAATCACCAAGTCGCAATTATAGCCCCCTCAGCCGCAGGGAGGTTGCACTCGCGGTTGGCTTGTACGATATACCCTCAAGATGCCGTTTGGGAACGTGAAGCTCAATGATGGCACGGAGGTGAGCAGTGTATCCTGACTGCTCGTGAACGGAGGTGGATCAGACGACCCTCGTCTTGTCTTAGATACCCGCCATCGCTTTCGGTACGGGTAGCGTTTGGAAGGGCAAGGTGCGTGCTATTTCGCTACTCTGAGGGAGCCTCGCACCGACCTAACGCGAGAAGGATGTCACGAAATACGTTGAGCAAGCGGTAGAGACAGGTTTCTCGCACATTGACACGGCTGCCAGTGAGTTCTATCGAACTACGTCCGATGACTGTATACCCTCGAAGCTAACGCGGGTGCAGTATACAAGACGGAGAGCAACGTCGGGCAAGCCATCCGAGAGACCGGTCTGAGCCGCTCTGACCTGTATATCACTACTAAGTACGACGGAGGTGATATTCAGGGCGCTATTAGAGACAGTCTGGCATTGGTAAATCATACAACGCATTGTTTATGATACGTCTCTTTCTCATCGCTAGGCTTTTAGCTGGGCATTAAACATGTAGACTTGTACCTGATCCACGCGCCACTATTCCTCCCGGGCAGCATTGAAGATGGCTGGCGAGAATTCGAGAAGATTAAGGAAAGCGGTTTGGCGACGTACGTACACATCAATATGGACGTCGGTCAGAACAGTGCTAATACACCCTGAATAATCAGGAGCATTGGCGTCAGTAATTTCAACCTCGAGGAATTGCAGAAACTGGTCAAGTCTGCCAAAGTCATCCCAGCTGTGAACCAGGTTTGTTCTATAGGCCGTTCAACGCGAGAGATATCACGGCTCTGACTAACACATTTCGCGGCAGATCCGCTTCCACCCATATAACTATGCCGAGAACAAAGAGCTCTTGGACTACGCTGCAAAACACGGCATCATAATCGAGGCATATAGCAGTCTCACGTGCGTCTTTGGATGTTCCTGCCACGAAATCGTTGAGTAAGAGCATACCGCATACACAGACCCATAACCAAGGCGCCAGGAGGACCAGTAGACAAGCCAGTCGCCGCTGCCGCTGAGCGACTAGGTGCGACGCCCGTGCAGGTAATCCTGAAGTGGGTCCAGCAGAAGGGTGCGGTGATCGTAACGTAAGGAATTTCATGCTCCTCCATCATTCCTAAAGTACTTAGGGGTGTCTTGCAGTACCAGTTCGAAGAAAGAGCACCTAGAGGAGTATCTCGCAGTTGCCGATTTACGTGAGTGTTGTCATTCTGATGCTTTCCGAACTGAATAATAATACGCGTCTCCCAGCCGACCTGACAGACGACGAGATCGCCGCCATCGACGAAGCAGGCGCAAAGGGTCCTTCGGATGCAAAGACAAAGGCAAAAACCGCTCTTACCTTCTTGCTCTGTGGTTATCTAACCTTGCGTGCTCTCTGGCAAGTCTCCAAGCTCTTAGAACTGCCGTTGGCACGATAGATATAACACTATATATGCTGGGGCTGTTGACCCGTTATGCATGTGTCGACTTGTCGCGCGAAGTCAAAACCTGAGTCCAGAAAGGTACAACCTCAGCCCCGATTCAGAGCCATGGCCTGCCTCATATATGGCGCACATGCTCATGGGCCTCTGAACGTCAATCCCAACTCCTTCTCCAGGAAGTCACACTGTTGGACCCTATAAGCCTGAATAGTCGTGGTGTAGTTTATCACGACCTCGTTGTCTCCGGTGTAGACCGGCCACTGCAAGGCCGCACCGGGATAATTGGGCGTCCCACTCCTAGCAAGGCTCGTCCATCTGCTCACGACGTCCCTAGTCACCTCGACCTGCTGCTCAGTCAGGGGCTGATAAACGTTGTCCAGTTCCGCGGAAGCGAAGACCCAGTACAACTCGTCGGCGTGGCATACCTGGCCGGGGCACGTAGCCGGGTTGGGCGTGAGCGGCGAGCCGAGGCCCACGCCGAACTCGACCTTGTACGAGTTATTGCGATTGGTGGTATTGGTCTCGAGTGAGGATAGGTACACCATTGGACAGTGGACGTCCCAGTCGGTCATGAGCTGTCCCAGTTGCAGCACGGCACCCGATATGCCGTCTTCGCCAGTTGCAGTTTCGTATGGATAGTTTTCGGTCAGGCTAGACGTGTTCAGAAGCGTAGCGACCTGTGTCTGGTTGAACCACAAACCCAGACTGTCAGTGAAAATCTGTGGAGGGGAGTTCGGCGCTATAGTGGTCGGTAAGAAGTAGCAATATTCGCATTGGTTGCTAGACCAGATTGTCGGCACGCGAGCGTATACGCCGTCTTCGATGCTCGAGGCGATGTCGGTGAGAACGTAGTCACCGTCAATGACGATGTTCCAGGTAAGGCCGAGGTTGTAAGATGCAAGCGAAAGCGACTCGGCCGGTAGGGATTGCATACAGCTGATGACAGATGAGGTGAGAGTGGTAGTGCCGTTTGCCGCGCATCCGAGGTTCTCCGCCAGTGTCAGGGAGGTGTTGACAACGTATGATGGTGAGGTGAAGGGTGTACTCTGGCCAAAGTCTGATTCCAGAATGGCAGCACCTTCATAGTAGGTATGGTTAGGGCTAATAAGAAACTTAGAGCTATGAAACGCTCACTCACTGAACAAACCCTCCGTATACTTGGGGTTGGTCCCCAGGAGATATCTCACCATCGTACCTCCCGCTGATTCTCCGTATATAAGGACCCTAGTGGGCTACGAAGGAGTATAATTCATTAGCACGATATTATCTGCATCTGAACAGCCCGGAACGCACATCCCCGCCGAAGGCTTCGATATTATCTTGCACCCAGTGTAACGCCAGAAGCGCATCCTTCAGGGCAGCATTTGAAGCGTTGAACCAACCCAGCGCATTAAGACGGTAGTTGATCGTCACAACGACGGCACCCCCATACGAAGCCACATTCGTACCGTCCAGCATGTTAGATATGGTTGGACCCACGTATCCTTCCGTTGTCATATTGAACGGGAAGGGGCCACTGTCTCCTGTGTTAAGGCCACCACCATGGACTAGAAATAACCGTTAGGGTCGCGAAGAAGTAGAGAGACTTCAGTCGTGCTGACTGTAGAACATTACAGGCAGTTTCGAAGAACCGGCACCGGCGTTCGACCCTGTATTAACTACTGGCGTGAAAATGTTCAACTGCAGACAGTCTTCCCCAGAGTAGAGCAAATGACCATTGTCGGCATCTGGGGGCTTCACACTGATGTGAACCGCATTGAAAAGCGCACCATGATGTCCAGCTTACCTGCGCACAGATGGGACCATATTCGAAAGCAGTCCTCACAACGTTGTTGGATAAACGCAATGAGGTGGGCGGTTGGAACCTTGACAATCCCGCTGTAGATTCTGCGTACTTGACTCCCAAGAACTTGAACGAGAACTTGTCTCGGAAGCCAATCAGAGTACCGGCCGTGTTGGTGGACAGCTGGATCTGATGCGAGCTATCTTGCAGCGTAGAGTTGACCGCCATCGGAGGCGCTGTGTTTGAGCACAATACGGGGAGTTCCTCATTCACATCTGCGGTAACTCCAGATCCGGATCCAGAGCCTGAACTAGACTCGGTAGACCCGCCAGGGGAGAACACCGCGCACTCGTAGGGCGCTATCATTTTTACTAAATTCAGTTGTCTACGAGGAAGAAGCGATGCACGAACCTGCTCCGGCTATCCATATTCTCTGACTAGAATCAATCGCAAGCCCATGCGTCCCGGAGGTCAGCGCCGTAGACAAGTTAGCAGCCGTAAGACCAGTCCCGTTTGGAGGAGGCAGCAAGGTTTCCTGCAACTGTGCACAAGCTTGGTATGCTCCCATACAGGTATAGGCACTCTTCAGATACAGTGCGCTCGCACGGTTGGGATTTGACGGGTTCAAGTCATTATTTGAAACGATGACTACTCCGGTGTCAGGATACAGCGAGAATGCGCGAACCCAGGGCAGGAGGCCGACGAAGGCGAGGACCAGAGTCGACAACATCTTAGTCCCTGCTGTCCAGATGTCCCCGCCGATCTAAGGTATATATCGTACCTTCTCATTATCGGAGCACCGTCCTGGTCTTCTTATTCACGTACAGGCCCAAAATACTCGCAACATGTTTGGGAATACCTTCGGGGTTGGTCGAAGATGGGTCAGCTGTGCTGAATGCATGGTTGTGAGTAGAAGACAGACTATGGATAGCCGTACCGTATCCGAACTGGAGAAGCGGGACACTGATACCGTCAGTGGATCACTTGACGCTCTATACTTAGCCCCAGCAGCCCAGTTACAGCATCAATAGAGACTTTCAGTAGTGAACGCCAGTATTTCACCAAGATATTGCCGATGGGCCCGCAGACAACGGATAGCATTCTCGATTGGCTGTATACAATGCTGGCTGTACACCGCAGTAAAGAGTCCGGTCCCTACCGTCGACGGGGAATATCGTCCAAACCCTGCTCAGTCCTCTGCGAGAGTAAACCCGACGAGTCCGCAGGAACTCGCACTGAGCAGACCTATACGCCTGGATCGACGTATTGAGGCCGATCACAACCTCATTATCCCCATCGTAAGTCGGCCACTCCAGCGATGCACCTTCGTAATTCGGGTTTCCCGTCCGCGCAAAAGCTGTCCACCTATCGATGACATCCCTTGTAACCCGGAGTTGGTCCTCGCTCAGGGGCTGGTAGAGGTTGTCGATCTCGGTTGTAGCAAAGACCCAGTAGAGCTCGTCGCCATGGCAGACCTGATCGACACAGGAGACGGGGTTTGCAGTCAGAGGAGAACCGAGGCCGGTTGTGAACACCACTTTATACGAGGGGCGATACCGGTGCCGTTATTTTGGTTCTCCAGCGAGGAGAGGTACGCCATCGGACAGTGGACCGCGAAATCCGTGGCAAGCTGCGCGAGCGTGAAGGTCGACCCTGACAGGCCGCCCGACGGCGGCGCGGTCTGGTAGGGATACAAATCCGTCGCGTTCAGGATGGCGTCGACTTGGGTGCTGTTGAGCAACAAGGAGGGGAGCAGCTGCGGGTAGAGGCTCGCAGGCGCGCTCGCGATGGCGGCAGGTATGAAGTAGCAGTACTCGCACTGGTTGCTCGTGTAGATCGTCGGGACCTTGCTGGAGGTGCCGTGCGTGACGGCGGAGACGATGTCGGTGGGGACGTAATCACCATCTATGACGACGTTCCAGTTCAAGCCGAGGTTAAAGGACGCCATGACTATGTCTCCAGCTGGTGCAGTTTGCACGCATTCAGCGATCGCGTTGCTGAACGTCGTTGTAGAGTTGTCAGCGCAGCCGATAGCCTTGGCGAGAGTGAGTGACGTGTTGAGGGCGTACGCGGACGGCGTGAAGATATCTAGCTGGGGGAAATCAGACTCGAGAATCGCGGCACCTGCGAGATGTATCAGCGCCGCCGCGGGACCTGCGCCATCCCCAGACCAAGCCACTCATTGAACAGCCCACCCGTGTACTTCGTATTTGCCGCCAAGAGGTACCTGATCATGATCCCACCCGCAGACTCCCCAAACAACAAAACCCTCTCCGGCTACCCACAAATAATTCAGTACGCGTCAGCACAATAAACACAGCACCACGCACATCCCCGCCAAATGCCTCCACATTCTCCTGTACCCACTCCAGCGCGAGGAGCGTGTCCTTGAGCGCCGCGTTCGAAGCGTTGAACCACCCGAGCGCGGTCAGTCTATAGTTGATGGTCACGAGGACCGCGCCGCCGTACGACACGAGGTTCGTGCCGTCGTATACGTTCGAGACGGACGCGCCCACGAACCCGCTGGTGGTCGTGTTGTACGGGAAGGGCCCGCTGTCGCCCGTGTTGAGACCGCCGCCGTGGACTGTTGGACGTCAGTCGTGAAACCGGAACGAGTTTGGGTACTCACTAAAGACCATGACGGGCAGCTTCGGGGCGGTGGACCGATCCGTGCGGAGGTCCACAACGGGAGTGAACACGTTCAGCTGTAGGCAATCTTCCTCCGTGTACAGCAGATGCCCATTATCCGGGTCTGGCAGCTTAAATCGCGCATATACGCGTCAGAACACCTTGTCCACACACTACTGGAGCGTCCGCACCTGCGCGCACATCGGCCCGTACCCCAGCGCCTCCCTCCTCGTATCATTCGCCACGACGAGCGGCACCGGCGCCTGGAACCGCTGCGCCTGCGCGAACTTGACGCCCAGGAACTTCCACGCGAACTTGTCGCGGAACCCGGTCAGCACACCCGCGGTGCTGGTGGTGAGATTTATTTGGCGCGAGGTGTCCTGCGCGGTGGTGTTGCGCTGCGAGAGGGGCGCGGAGTTCGTGCAGAGCGCGGGGAGGCGCTGCGCGTCGGGTTTGGAGACCGTAGACGCGTTGCCGGGGGAAAACACGCTGCACGCGCCGTGCCCTATGCACACCTATCAAACCTCCCGTCCTCAGATGGCAGCACCCATGGATACACTCACCGTCGCCCGCAACCCAAATCCCCTGCCCCGCCCCAACACCCGCCCCGTGCCTCTCCGCCGTCAGCGCCTCCCCCACCCACGTCCCATTCCCAGGGTGAATCGACCGCGCCTCCCCCACCCACGTCCCATTCCCAGTGTGAACCGACGACGCCTCCCCCAACCAAGTCCCATTCCCAGAGCGACCCAACAGCGCCTCCCGCAGCTCCCCACACGCCGTCTGCGCCTCCGCACACGTGAGCGCGCCATCGAGGTACAGGGCGCTCGCGCGCGGCGTGGCGGGGTCGAGGTCGTTATTCGAGAGGACCACGACGCGCGTGTCGAGTGCGCGCGCGAGGGATGCCCACGCGCACAGGAGCGCGAGTCGGTGCATTTGACCGGCCTACCTATCAGTGGAGAATGCGGTGTCCCGCCGCCGTTATGTAGCATCGCGCGCGCGCGGCGCCCATCACTGATGAACGGAGAGTCAGCTGGTGCGTCGGCCAGGGATGCTGAGCCCGCTCGGGGAACGGCGCTCGAAATCCGCGATGTCGTCGGGCCGCAGCAGACGCGCAGATGGCATTGGCGAGCGCGGGAAGTAGCAGCAGCCCGTATGGCAGGGTTGAGAAGTGGCAGGGGATGCGTTCGGTAGTCAGAGGCTGGTCGGAAGTATCAGAGATGCTTATTGATGCCCGCTCGAAATGCGCAATACAGTCGGGCCGCGCAGGGCGCAGCGTCGAGCTCGAGGAGTACATGGAAGAGGAGGGTCTACGCAGGGGTCGGAGGTAGGTAGCTTTACTGCGCCCCCGTATGTACAAATATACCATATTGAGAAGAATGTCACATGATGCCGGCAAACGCGGGCTTCCTGCCGCGCGCGTGTCCGGCCAGTAAGAGTGTCTTCAAGTCTGGACTAAGAGGGTCATATAGACCGGGCAAAATAGATTTTCATTGAAATCTATATAGCTGTGATACATGTGGCTGACAAGGATAATATAAAAGCTAACAGTAAGGAAAACTAATAAACCCTAACCCTAAAAGGGCAAATCGAAGGATTCTGCAACGGTAGGATTTGAACTTCAGACGTCCAGCACTCAAGACAGGCCGCGTAACCGCTACACTAAAGAGGCAATGCAAATCTCATGCATTAAAATTATATGATGGCAATATAATAGCCGTTTACTTAATACGGCTGGGTCCAGTTATTTTTAGTGACGCGGCCGGAGGGGTCGGAGGTCACATGATATTCTTCTCGAAAAGGTAATATTTGGTTGTGTTTACGCGGGGGCGCAATAGCAAAGACGGTCGGAGGTACGCCCCGAGATGCCACGAGCCACGAGCCACAAGCCTACCCTCCAAACACTATCAACAACACTATTATTGCCATTATACGCAGTACATACCACACAGTAAGTACAAATACATACACCAGAGGCTACACTTTATACGGCGATTACGCTACCGTTAGTACAATTACTAGTCCAGTCCAACGTCCATAGTCAAGCGTGTCCAGAGTCCACTGAGTCCATAAGAACTCTCGAGTCCATATAGCCGCTGGCCAGCGGCAACTAGCTCACCGGAGCGCCCGCAGGGTACTCCGGATAACCTCGTAGTCCTCCTCGACGTAGTACTTGCTCCCTCGTTCCCTGAGCCACTTCGTTTTCAAGTTCCCTCTCAACGGGGACGCGGTATCAGACATCACTCCGCGCTGGGGCACCAATTGTCGCGGCCTTCCTGCGAGCTCGAGCGAGTGCGCCTCCTGGCGGATCATCACGCGCGTTTCCGGCTGGGGTTCAGGTCTGCGCGCGACGAGCCGCTGGGGCAGGCACTCGCCCAGCGTGCGCGAGAGCTTCGACACGTTCTGCACCCAGCGCTTACGCTCGTCGGGCGTCGACGGAGTAGTCGACCCCGACCCCGACCCCGACCCGAGGCCGAGCGAGAAGTACGAGATGGCGCTGTCCGCGCGGCGCAGCGGGCGCAGCGCGGGGGTCGGCGGGGTGCGCGGGCGGTGGTGGGTGGGCAGGTCGACGCGCGCGATCTGCGGGGCCTGGGCGTCGAGGGGGAGAGAGAGCTTGGGCTTGTTGGGGGTAGGGGAGGAGGCGCGCTCGAGGGAGGAGGTGGAGAGGAGGGACTCGGTGGAGGACCCCGCGGGGAGCGCGGGGACGGGGACGCGGCGGACGTTCCGCGGTGCCTGCCCGGAGGGTAGTTCTGCACAGGAGCAGTGTTAGGTGAGGCGCATTGCAGAGGGGGACGTGCTTACGCTCGCTCCGCGTGTGCTGGTGCGACGCGCTCCTCGACTGGGAGAGCGGGGCCCGATAACGAGTGCCAGTGTCGCGGTGCGCGGGGTGGATGATGAGCTCGGAGGGCGGGGTCTCGCCGAGGACCTTCTCGAGCTTCTTGGACCGCCTCACGAGGATGCGCCGGTCGTCATAAGCAGACATGTTCGTGTTCGTGTATGACAGGCGTATGGTGATAAATTGGCTTAAGACGGAGGAGGCAGAGTCAAACTGCGGGCGCGGTATATAAGCCCCACCGGACACTAAGCCCGCCACAGGAATGGATATGTCGCGAGGATAGAAGGGTCGCCAAGGAGACTATGGAGCCGGGCGGGACTACTCGCTGATAAAGATAAAGCGAGCTGGTGATGTTATCCCTCTGCGCGCTGGCATCATAGCTGTGGAGCGCAGACACGGCGAGCGGTTTATTGTTCTGATGATGGTGCCGGAATAGGGCGGTATTGGACAGGACGGCGTGGACGTGTCTCATCGAGTCTAAGCACCCGGATTCCAAAGGCACGGCAGGTGCAGTCGGAAGGACCATGCAATAAAGCAGCGATGGAGGTTGCGGCGCACGGCTCAGACGCGTCGTCAGACGACCCGAGTCACGTTGGCCGCGGCGACGGCGGCCTGCTCAACGTCGGGAAGCGCACCCAAGCCCGATACAGATCTCACTCATGTGGCGGTGCAGATCTGATTTCTCGCCACAAGATCGTCTTTCCCTGTCACCCTAAACGCAAAGCCTAATTAGCCTTTGTCCGCCACTGCGATTTCACCTCTAGAGGTTCCTGTTCCTTGGAGCTGCGTTACAAAGACACTTGGGTTTGTTTCGCAGACATGGCAATTGAGTCCGGCGAGAAGAAACATGCGGCGGCCGCGAGGTCGGGTGGGCAGGGGCAGCGAAAAGGGGGTAAAGCAGGGGAGACGCAGAACGGACGAGCGGTCGGGGCTGTAGATGTCGATGAACCCGCCGCTCGTCAAAACGGATTCGGGAATGATATGATCGATGAATTTGCCCAGGGCTCCTCGAACCCGGTCGTTCGTAGCGCAGAGTGGGCGTACAAAGTGAGACATCAACCCTCCTCGACTACCCCCAGACCTAACCCGCAGGACGGCATAGCACACAAACCTCGTCAAAATCAACGAGGAAGGCGTAGCCGCCGCCGCCCAGTACGTGCGTACACCCTTCCTCCACAGGAAGGGGAAGCACACGCCAACGAACCCATCCCATAGATCCACAAAAACATGCTCGCTACATCCTACACCCCGCGCACCTGGCGCACCCACCCCCTGCACCTCCTCCCGCCGGAGCCCTTCTCCCCATCCGACCCGCGCACCCGCACGTGCCTCGACTGGATCTTCCTCATCTCCTCGCTGAACTTCAGCTTCTGGTCCGAGCTGCCGGAGCGCGAGCGGTACGGGGTGGAGTGGCGCGAGGGGTGGGGGGCGGCGGGGAGGAGGGTGTGGACGGGGTATTGGAGCCTGGTCGCGGCGATAAACAGAGGTGAGAGGTGCACGGTTTCCTGGTGGTTAGGGTGACTTACGCCGGGCGTGCAGCGCTGGAAGAAGATATCCCCATCACCGACCCATCCTTCTACTCGGACCCCGCGCGGTGCCCGGACGCGCTCATCGAGCACGTCTTCCGTCCGACCCCGCAATCGCGAGAACCGATCCCTCTGCTGCGCGAGCGCGTCGCCATCATGCGCGAGAACGGGCGCATCCTCTGCGAGGTACGTGCCCACCCGCCCGCCCCTCGTGAATTATCGCCCAACAGGTGTACGTCGAAACCAGAAATTCGGCGGCGGCTTCCAGGCGTTCATACTATCCTTCCAAGCCGCGCGCCGGGACCGAGGAACGGCGCTCCAGCTCGTGCGGGCGGTCACGCACGCGTTCCCGACGTTCCGCGACGAGACCGTGTACGCCGGCCGGAAACGTACGTACTTGCCCCCCCCTCCCCCCCTCCCCTTTCCTCCTCCCACTGACCGGCACCCCCAGTATACTTCTGGAAGCGCGCGCAAATCCTCGTCGCCGAGACCTGGGCCGCCTTCTACCCCGCCTCCCGCTCCCCCCCGCACCCACACCCGCTCTTCCCCGGCGCCGGCGCAAGCATCCACGAGCTCACGATGTTCGCCGACTACCGCGTCCCGCAGATCATGCACCACCTGCGCATCCTCTCGTACGCGCCTGAATTGGTGCGGGCGCTGAGGGAGCGACGGGGAATGGCGACGGGGGGCCGGGAGGAGGTGGCGGTGAGGGCGGGGAGTGTGGTGGGGGTGGAGAGGGTGCGGGAGGAGATCAGGAGGATGCGGAGGAGGGAAGGGGGGGAAGGGGGGGAGGAGGAGGTTAGTAGCGTGGTGATTGATTTTTATTTGTGGGATCTCGCAAAGAGGGTGGAGAGCGGTGAGAAGGTGGCGGGGATCGAGACTGTGGAGATGGTCCCTGCGCATCGGACGCGGAGTATATGGTATTGAGGTTTCTATTAACTTAGGAGGGCCGATGGGGGTTGGGGGTTGGGAGGGTAAAACAGTTGGGTCTTCATGTTCATGTGGATAATCTGTGTTCTCCTCGTCTGATAGGATTTACCGTATTGATTAAACTGTCTACTTTATTGTATATGAGTAATCTGGCCTCTGTCATCTACGCATGCATAGGACATGGATCGAAACATTCAGATCATCGTGCTGGTACCGCCGGCCACCCTTCAGCCACACAGACATCAGCCACATTTCAGCCACATTGACCGCTTTCGGACCCAGCACCGCATGAGGTCACCGGCCATGACATCACCTCACCCTCCCCGCCCGCGCCACAGTGCATACTCTACATATAGCTCGCCACTCACCATGTAACGCACAATTCCGTCAAGTACCTACTACCCCTAGTCAATCCGCATTATCCGTCACAAATCACCGACGATGTCTTCCTCACAAACGGCAACAACAACCGCGCGCGCGGACGCGCCCGGGAACGTCTCCCTCCCCTCCGAAACCGTGCAGCCTACGGAGGTGTCCACGCCGCCCCAGCAAGGTGAGCGTCACTCTATCTCCATCCATACCCGCATTGCGGCGTGTTGGGGACTTGCACTGATGCGCTGGGTACGCAGGCTCGACACAGCCCGGGGACGGCTCGACCGTGCACTACGACGCGGAGAAGAACGTGCAGTATGTCGAGCAGCCGGGGGGGAAGGTGCCGTGGAAGGACCAGGTTTTAGGTGAGTAGTCGCTTGACGATGCTGGTAGTGAATAGGAGAACTGATGCTTGTGCGGAAGGGTATGCGAAGGAGATCCGCGGAGCGACGCTGAGGAAGGTGAGAGGCATCGACAATCATGTCTGTCTTTGTCATTGACCAAGACCGTCTTCATGTAGGCCGAGACGAAAGAGCAGGGACAGAAGATTTTGCAGGGCCAGGAGGCCCCTTCTGAGACGCACAAGTAGAGACTCGATCGTCCACACTGTATTCTTAGTGTTTATACGCTATAGTGCGGCTTGAAACGTTACTGTATTTGTCCTGGATCCGTTTGTACTATACCTGCCTAATTCCACCCGCTCGACTGTCGCGTCTTGCCCGAGTCCACAGTTCCGGTTGTGAGACTGCACTCCTTGCTTCCACCATTGCCGACTGAGACCGGCTGAACATGCTATACCAGCCTCTATACATAACCTTCTCCCATCTCCCCCCCGACGATGACTATGTCATCGCTCGTCATCCATCCTATTCCACCCAGCTTCCCCGTATAAAGGGCGGTCGCAGGATGGTATCTGACCTGGAAGTCGTGAAGTAATGACCTCGCCGCAGCCCACCGCGCACATCTACCTCGACCCCTCCCAGACCAAGTCCCCCCTGCGCGACGACGTCCCCCACGCGCACTCGCACTCGCATGAGCTTCCCCTGCCTGCTTCCCTAAAGGTACAAACCTCGCCTTGGAAATTGGATACTGACACTGAGGACGCAACGACAGGTGCACCCTGGCGGCAAGGACGTCGGCGCGGAGAACGCGCGCCTCTACTTTGTCGGGACGGCCACGACCATCCTCGAGTGGGAGGGCGTGCGCATCATGACCGACCCCAAGTACGCTCTGTCCTTGCCCCCTTTCCCTCCTTCCCTCCACCCCCCAACCCTTCCCCCCGGCGCCGGCCCTCTCGCGTTCCCAAACAACTAACCCCACCTCCCCTGCTAGCTTCCTCCACGCAGGCGACCACGTCCACCTCGGCCCGGGCGTGCAGGCCACGCGCCTGACGAACCCTGCGGTAGACTTGCACGACCTCCCGCGCGTCGACCTCGTCCTGCTCTCGCACTACCACGCGGACCACTTCGACCAGGAGGTGCGCCCCACCCCTCCCCCCTCAAATCCCGCATTTATGTAACCCCCCGTCCCCGTCCACCCGTCCACCCCCGCGCCCGCGCAGGTCGAAGCCTCGCTCAGCCGCGCCCTCCCGATCCTCACCACCCCGCACGCGCACGCCGCGCTCACGTCCAAATCCCCGCCCTCGGAGGCCTTCACCGCCGTCACCGCGCTCGACACCTGGGACTCCGCGCTCGTGCACATCGCCCCTCCCTCCCGTCCCTCCCCCACCAAGCCCGTGCTAAAAGTCACCGCAACCCCAGGCAAGCACGTCCCCCCCGGCGGGCTCCTCGAGGCCGCGAACGCGCTCGCGGGCGCCGTGCCGCCCACGCACGGGTGGATGGTCGAGCTCGGGCGCCTGCACGACGACGACGGGGGCGAGCTGGACGTCGGCTACAGGATATACATCACCGGCGACACTTTGTTCGTCGACGAGCTGCGGGACATACCCGCGCGGTACCCCGAGGTGGATCTCATGCTCGTGCACCTCGGTGAGCGCTAGTGTTGATTGTACGCGCGCGTGCGAGGGATGTACTCATTCAGGCTGGTGGTGGATAGGCGGGACGACGATCCCCTCGCGCGCGCTCCCGCTGCTCATGGTCACGATGGACGCGGCGCAGGGCATCCAGCTCGTGCATCTGATTAACCCGGACGTCACCGTCCCGATCCATTTCGACGATTATGGTACGTTGCTCTGGGTTCTTGTCGTGTTGCTCACGTTTACTGGTCCCGATAGACGTGTTCCTCAGTCCATTGAAGGTGAGTTGCGACATTTGCTATGTGAAATAGGGCCTCGGTACGATAGTCTCCGTTCGCAGGATTTCCAAGAGGCGATGACTAAAGCAGGCCTCGACGATAAGGTCGTGTACCTGAACCGCGGGGACGCCTACTCTTTCGCCGTTCGTGGATAGCTCGCCCTTGGCTTATACACGATGCGACTCTCCTATGTAGATGTACGTATCCACTCGACCGAATTTGTATCATCCTTGCTTGGTATCTTGATTCTATAGCAAATACGGATGCTCCCCCGCTCGCCGTTGTACAATGATAACGTTGTATTTGTACTCAAAATCCCTAATTATGTTGTACAAGTACCCGTCTCTCCTCCCCGTGATGCATGAGCTGCTATGAAGAATAAATACCGGTCGCATGAGTCTATGAGTGCATGGAAATGTGGATGTATGCGCAAGTATGAGTCAATCAAGATGGATAAACACTGAGCGAACAAGACAAGGCGAGCAAGCCGGAGATTATACAACAACACCACGTCGGGTAACTCGCGAATTACATGGCCAGGGCCATGCCCGCTGGCTCGCCCTCGCTGCTATACACGCTCACCGCCCGGATAGACTGGTCGTCGGACTTCCTCGGTGCGTGAGCGCTATCCAGCTGCGCCAGGATATGATCGTGCTCTCCACCCTGCGTCGAGTGCGTCTGCTCGTGCTCTTCGGCGTGCACATGGGCCTCCGGCTGCACAGCAGCGAGTGCAGGCTCGGGCACATGCTCGGTCTTGCTAGGTACCGACGGTGCCTCCGCGACATGAGCGGCCGACGTGGCAGACGCGACCTGAGTGACCGATGTGGGAGATGCAGCATGAGTCACCGCCGTCGGAGACGCCACGACTGTGGCCGTCGAGCTAGACGCTGGGACAACCGTCGCAGTAGAGCTGGACGCCGTCAGGCTCGCATCTTTGCTGGCCGTCGCTGCGTCCTCGGGTGCAGTGGCGGGCTTCCCCAACGAGAATCTACTCGCCCTGCTCGAGAAGAACGACCCGATCCCCGCGCCGATACTCCCCAGCGCAGCCTTCGCGTCCGCAGCGGTCAGGCTTATCGGGCGCTGCCCATCCGCTGGCGGCGGGGATTGCGACAGCGTCCTCGTCAACTCTGCAGGGGCGGGGGGACTAGTTGGCTCTTTCGGCGGGCTGGCGACTTCCACGGTGCTTGAGGAGCTGCTGCTGACGGTCTGAATGGACGTAGAGGAGCCCGCGGAGCGCTGAGCCCACCGGCCACGCACGCCTTCGACGGCTTTGAAGAAGTTGGTGGAGCCTGCGACAAGCGTCCGCGATACGGCTTCGCGAGCTGGTGCGAGCTGCTGGTCTAGCTTCAGTTCCTGAATACCTTCTGAGAGTCTCAGACTGATGTCTGCCACTACAGATGGCTTCTCATTACATGGATGTCTACGTCCTTGTCAAAAATACGGATCAGAAATAGCAGGGCTATGTGTATGCTCACCGAGGCTCGACTATATCGAACAACGTAGGATCAGTCACTCGTTGCCAAACCTCGTACGCGTTCGTTTTCTTGAACTCCGCGATCCACAAGGGATTATAGTCCTGGATGGCATTATAATCCGCACCTGAACTGGGTGAGAGAACGGCTCGACACCAAATGTGAGCAGAAGAACAAACCTGTGCCGCCAGTGATCATCACACCTCCGCCTTCACCCTTGGCAATGAAATCGGCAAACTTGACGGAAGAGAGCGCGCCCGATATATACTCTTCGAACTATAATAAGAAGTCAACGCAAACTCCTGCATAGGGGGTGTAGACATTCCCACCTTGCTTCTCAGATAGTCATCGCTGCCCTTGAACCTTCTGGCGTACATCAGCAAGGCATCCTTTAGCTCCCGAGCGGGACACGTACTGCATGCCCAGTGGCCGAGTGGGATCTTCGTCGTTCCACCCGTCATTCACGTCCTTCACGATCTCGTCCATCCATTTCCGGTCAGCTGCTGTTAGGCCGGCCATCCGCTCGAGCGTAGGGTCGCGGAACTCGAAGCTCGCGGTCTCAATCTGACCGCATCACGGAATGGAGGCTCAGAATGGGAATACATATATACGACCGGGTGTGGATACGCACGTTAATGAGCAAGTCCACGCATTTCTGGGACGTGACAATTGAATTCGTCGTCCCGCACAACCAACTTGGCGTCTCCCTCAGCATGTCCAGCTGCTGCAAAGGCAGATACGGCTGGAAAAACGAATCCTACCAAGCACACCCAATCATGAGATCGCTATTTGACAAAGAAGAACTGATCAGATCACCTTGCCAAAGATATCCAGCGGCAAACCGAGATACGCCATCATGCTCTTGTGGTTCGACGTCTTCAGGGATGAAGGGCGGGTTAGGGTTGGCGCTCGGTTGGCGAGAGGCGGTGACCCCGAGTCGTCTAGGGTATGCAACAAGCCTATTGTACGGAAATATCAATACCTATGCCACGTGGGCCTGACCATACGTTCTTACGAACCAGGAATGAGTGATATGAGCGAGTACTGGTATGTACATAGCCGCTCTACTGGATGACCGTAGAACATTACCTGAAGTCTTTGGGTTAGTACCTGGAAAGGTTGATGAATAGATTGCTCACTTTTTTCTGCAGCATGAGCGCCTTGATTATTACCAGCGTCTTCTGCCGAAAATGATGTACAAGCTCCCGGCTGCGTGAATCGGGTCATGGTGAGCAGCGCCGCGAAAGAGGAAAAACATACAGACTCGTGCCTTGACAGACATAATATTCCTCAGTAACATAAGCAAAGAGTGGTTCGGAGGAGCGACTAACCCATGTAGACACCACTCTCGGTTAACTGGCTCCGGAGAGAGGGTTCCAGCGAGTCATAGAAATCTACAAGAATATCCGTCTCCCGGAAGTCCCTGAACAGAAAGACACGCGTATGAGTTTCATCCTGTACCACAATCAACGTCTGTGGGAAACCAACCGTTGATCAAACAAAGCCCGAGTGATGACACCCAAACGGTCCCTGGAGTTATCATCAGGACGCCACATAAGTTGAGCAATCATGATGTTTCACGTACCGTACGAGTCCGAAGACGGGTTTCGAGGCGAGGATGACCACGGCCTTCTGCACGGTCGAACGAGTCACGTCCGCATCCTTGACGAGCAGCTGAGAAGCTGCTATTTGTCGATTACATCTGCAGTGATGCAATTAGAACCATGACCGTATGCAAATGAGTGGGAGGGGACTTACGAGATTCCAAATATGGTAGTCGGTTTTGGCGATGATGGGACGAGGTGGAAGTACGAGTAGTCTTCGACGGTCTTACAACAGTTAGAACGTACGCAGACATATAATGACTGAAGGATGTACCAAGTGTGCACCATCAGGAAGTGCTAAGAAAGGCAGGATTTTGGCAATCTCCTCATCCTCGAATATCTCCCCCTTGGAGAACTCTATCTTGGGGCCGACCTGAATTGAGTTGAATGGGGATGGAAGTGCACAGATCAAGCATTATACAACAGACCAAGTGGTTGAAGTCCACAAGCGCAATACCCAGGATCAATGGACCACTGGTAACCTCGAAGATGGTAGACTCTGGCCGGGCTTTCTTGGAGTAGGAAGAGCTCCTCGAAGAGAACGACGTGACAGACTCGCGACTTGCGGAAGGCAAAGGCGGTGGCGGATACGTCGTGAGACCCTCAAGCTTTGAGTGGTCTTCCTGCTCGTACAGAGACGCCGCTGCAGACGAAATCGAGCTGTCACGCGTGCCCAGCTCATGCGTGTAGAAGCTGCTGTTATCCGTCTCCGACGTGAGGTCGGTATCTATGGTATACGGCCGAGAGTCCCGCTTCGAGTACGCGTTCAGCGGGGGCGACGGCGGTGTGAAATGCGTCTGTGCCGGGGTAACTGTCGAGTGCCGCGGGGAGACTGCGGGTGAAGAGAGGGATATAGACTTCTGCGAGGCGGTCTCGTTGTCGTCGCCGTCGCTTTCGTCAATGACCGCGGTCGGTTCCGTGTCGCGCAGGGCGTCGTGAACGGCAGACATAACAGCTGGCAGTGTGGACTCTGAATCGAGGCAGAGACTTGGAGAGTTGAGAAGGCGGTCCTGTTACCGGCCTCGACTTCGCGCCGCCATGTCCGTGGCACGTGGTGCACGTGCTCCGGAGACGCTCCCGCGGTGGCAGTGAAGCTGTAACTGCCCGATTGAGCCACCTCAATGACACTGAATCTGATGATGGCTGCCCTGCCCCATCCCTTCTCCACGACGGTCGCTGTCGCCTATAGCCTGTTGCTCGCTGGTCGTCGCTGGCACCCCCGACAATAATGCGATCTTTTCTGATTTTATGCATCATCTCGCCCGTCCTTGCCGTGCCGGCATTTATCCCGTGGGCGGCAAGAGAACAGTCAGTCCTTGCATTACAAGGGGGCCGCAAGCCCGAACGACCACAGGACGGTGGATTCGAGGGATGGTACGACCCACGGACAAATGGCGGTCGAATGCTCGATGTACGCTTGCCATATTTCTTATGTCATGCATAGTACTGAGGCAATTATAGTGGGCAACTCGCAAGCGCGGGGAACCTCTGAACGTCATCATCTCAGCCTTCTCTGATCCGTACGTCCTGACCGAGACCGGATTCCACGCCTATGCAAAGTACGCTATTATGCTATCATATCCTACTGTGCGTGCTGAGGGCGTATTTATAGGTCCATAGGATTCTCCGAGGAGTGCATGGGTCTCCACTACGGTCAAATCCACGAAGCTGACCTTGGCGACGGGGATGGGAGGAAGGAAGAGCAGTTCCTCGCGAGACAAACGTACTTTCCGGTCTGGGGAACCTGCTGGGAGAGCGTCGCAGGCGGGAACCACTTCCGTGCATGGAAGCAGAATGGTACGTTGGCGAATTCCGGGGCATGGTTCTTAGCCGTCTCGAAGGAAGAGGTAAATCACACTCTGTATTCTTCCCTCGTATCCAACCATATCAAATTCACGTCACAGCATTCAGGGAAGCACCACACCATCATCGAGGATGGGTACAATATTGGCCGCGACCTGCTCGTTGAGCGAGCAGCCGCCGGCAGTAGATGGAATGGGATGTGGTGGCTCGCAGATGTAGAATGGCGGGAAGGCCTACTCGAGCCCGGAAACCACAGTAAGTGGATAGCATCCATTGTCACTACCGCTGTTAATATGACGATACCAGGCGTGAACCACGGCATAGAGCAAGACGGCCGTGTTGCTATACTAACCGTTCAGCGTCTTTAGAGCGACGATGTCCACTAGACTCGGAGGGACTTTGGATCTATTCCGCGCTGGACCTGTATATTTATCGGTGATTTATCTTCGATCACTTCTTCGACGACCTTGTACGACCTCACGACCAACCGCACTGTGGATCTCACACATTCTTATGTTTATTTTCCAGCATTTACATCATTGGATTCCCTTGTAGATCTTGTATTGCTATTTTGTGACACAGTCATGTAACTAACTTGCAGTGCGCAATGCTATCCATGTGTATGTAACTTTGGATTCACTGGACGCGCCTGACAATGTCATCGGATGGGAAGGCAAGTGCATTAGATAGATATGACAACGATAGTACAGGCAGGATATACTGAATGACATATATGTGGATCGATACAGGTGACAGAGCTAGAGACTAGAGGAAGAGGATGAGACACGACAATGCGAAAGCGATGGGAAATCAAATCTATACAACAACACTCAGTCCACTCACGGCTCACTCAGCCGGAGCACATAACACAAGCCTCCTTGTTTTCTAGCGAGCACAGGAGCTTGGCCTCCTCGAGCTGTCTCTCCTGCTGTCTGCGCAGAGCAGCGGCGAACTCGGGGTCGGCCTCGGCAGCCTTCCTCGTCCGCTCGTCCAAGCCCTCGACCGACGAAGGCTCAGCAACGACGGGAGCAGTCTCTGCTTGGGGCGCAGGCTTCGCGGGGGCGTCATCCTGTTCGGCAGGCTTCGACTCGCTGATCGTCGCAGTGAGCACCTGAGCGGTGGCGCGCGCTGGGGAGGGCGAGGGCGAAGGAGTGATGACACCCGCCACTGTCTTGACAGCAGCAGGCGTCCGGCTCTCGGACTGCGTCTTTTTCGCATCCTTGACGACGTTGACGTCGACAGTGAACTGGATGGCCTGTGACGCCGGCCGCGTCCTCAAGTAGTACATACCGGTCTTCAGACCCTTCGACCACCCGTAGAAGTGCATGCTCGTGAGCTGGCCCATGGTCGGCGACTGCAAGTGCACGTTGAGCGACTGGCTCTGGCAGATGAACGCGCCGCGGTCCGCCGCCATGTCGAGGATCTTCTTCTGGCTGATCTCCCAGACCGTCTTGTAGATCTTCTTCAGGTCGTCAGGTATCTCAGGGATATGTTGAATGGAACCGTTGTGCGCGATGATGCGGTTCCTCATCTGATCATCCCACAGTTTGCGGTCCACCAGCTCCCTGAGGAGCCAAGGGCAGACGACTTGGAACTCTCCAGATAGGACGCGACGAGTGTAAATATTGCTGCAAGACTTGTGAGATAACTGATCACATGCGTGACCGGAAGATGGACATACCTCGTGTAGGGCTCGAAGCACTCATTGAAGCCTAAAATCTGACTCGTAGAAGCAGTCGGCATGGGAGCAACCAGGAGCGAGTTCCTCAAACCAGTCTTGCCAATCTTCTCCTTCAAGCTCGTCCAGTCCCACAGGTCAGTCGGGGTCACCCCCCACAAGTCGAACTGGAGCTGTCCCTGCGAAGCAGGGCTACCTTCCCAAGTCTCGTACGGCCCGTCGCGCTCGGCGAGCTCGCTGCTCATCTCGAGGGCAGCGTGGTAGATAGTCTCGAAGATCTGAAGGTTCAGCTGCCTCGCCTCGTCGGAGTCAAACGGCATGCGGAGCGCCATGAAGGTATCGGCGAGGCCGTTGACACCCAAACCGATGGGACGGTGGCGCATGTTCGAGCGCCTTGCCTCAGGTATGGGGTAGTAGTTCACGTCGATGATGCGGTTCAGGTTGTACGCGAGAACCTTGGCGACGTCGTGCAACTTCTTGAAGTCGTACTGGCCGTCCACGACGAAGGAAGGCAGGGCGAGCGAGCCCAAGTTGCAGACGGCGGTCTCGTCGGGCGAGGAGTACTCGATGATCTCCGTGCACAAGTTGGAAGACTTGATGGTACCAAGGTTCTTCTGGTTGGACTTGTCTAAGATCCGACGGATCAATAGGCTGATGCAATTGGGCAGCAGTCAACTCACTGTTGGCAGCATCCTTGTAGAGCATGAATGGGCCACCGGTCTCGATCTGGGCCTCCAAGATCGCGTACCAAAGCTTCTGAGCAGGCATCGTCTTCCTGCCGCGGCCTTCGTTCTCATACTTCTCGTAAAGCTTCTCGAACTCTTCGCCGTAAACCTCATGGAGACCCGGGGCCTCGTTAGGGCACATCAGGGTCCAGTTGCCATTGGCCTTAACCCGCTTCATGCTAGTGGCAGAGTATGAGGGGATGATAGCATCTTGCCATACAATGCACTTACAAGAGATCCGGAATCCAGAGAGCATAGAACAGATCCCTGGCACGGACTTCCTCCTTCCCGTGGTTCTTCCTGAGGTCTAGGAAATCGAACACGTCCGCGTGCCAAGGCTCGAGGTAAATAGCAAAAGCACCAGGTCGCTTGTTGCCACCCTGGTCGACGTAACGTGCGGTCGCGTCGTACGCCCGGAGCATGGGTACAATACCATTGGAGTACCCATTGGTACCCGCGATGTACGAGCTGCGCGAATCATCAGAAGACACTCATGTCTAGCGGACTAGGAGCGTACCCAGTAGCCCGGATATTATGGATGCTCAAACCGATACCACCAGCAGTCTTGCTGATCATGGCGCAGTTCTTGAGGGTGTCGTAGATGCCTTCAATGGAGTCATCCTTCATGCAGACTAGGAAGCATGAGCTGAGCTGAGGGTGAGGTGTCCCAGCGTTGAAGAGCGTAGGTGAGGCGTGGATGAAGTAGCGCTGAGACATCATGTTGTAGGTCTCAATAGCACGGTCGATGTCGTTACCGTGAATACCGACGGCGACACGCATGAGCATGTGCTGTGGGCGTTCGGCGACGCGGCCATTGATCCTTAGTAGGTAGGAGCGTTCAAGTGTCTTGAAGCCGAAGCTGAGGGTAATAGGTTAAGACGAATCTGGACAAGAAAGGCAGGGTCTACGCACAAGTTGTAGGTGAAATCACGCTCATAGATGATAGATGAATCAAGGAGTTCGGCATTCTGCATCACAAAGTCGTACGTCTCCTTAGAGATCATCCCAGCAGGACGACCGTTCTTTGGGTTAACTGAAACAACGCATCAGTATGGATGATGCAATCTACATAGACACATCCTACCATATTCATATAGGTCCTTGATCACCTCTGAGAAGTTCTTCTTCGTCTCTTTGTGTAGGTTGGAGACGGCGATGCGAGCGGCTAGGATGGCATAGTCAGGATGTTTTGTGGTAAGGTAGGCGGCCGTCTCGGATGCGAGGTTCTGGGGCAGCTCGTCAGGATAGGATACTTTGAGAGGAATAGTAAGCAACGTACGTCGAGCTCCACAGTTGTCACTCCAGGGTAGACACCGGCGATGACCTTTTGGGCCACCCTAGGATCGAGCCGCGTCAGACGAGGCTGCATGCCTCACAATCCAAACTCACTCGATCGAGTCAACGTGTACAGCATCGAGACCATAGCAGAGCTTGGATATCCGGGCAGTGATCTATAATGAACAAGGGTGAAGATCAATCGCGCCAACGTCGCCAAGACGCGTACCTTGTCAAACTGCACGCGCTCCTTGCGTCTACAAGCACAAAACACGGTTCATTCAGTATGAGGCGCGTAACGAGACGCGTCGGACGCGTCCAAGTCTTGTCAAACTCACCCGTCTGCAAAAGGAAGATGTCAGCAACGGGTAAAGACAGGAAGCAGTACAGACATACCTCGCTTGAATACGTAAGCCATAGTATTGCTAGAGGAGGCTGGAATTAGGAGAGGCCTCTAGACGGGAGGGGAGGTGGTGGTGGGCGGACGGTAAGGTGAAAGACAGAACGCGACGCGGTTTAAAGGGGCGCGTCCGTGACTAAGCATCAACTTTCCACGCGTGACATTCCGTAATTTTAACCCTTTCACCTTAGGATCTCTCCAATTCTGCTTTTCTCCCGGCAGTGTCGAAAGACTCTATCGCTGTGGGACAGAAACTCAAGGGGTTCATTGGGACTTGAGGGAATGCCATTCTCTGGGCGTTTGTGCGAGAGCGAGCACACAGGGATTAATCCAGATATTTCCCTTCAAATATGGTATTTCCCTTCAAATATCACGACGCGTGACAGAATACGCGTTTATTACGCGTCCATTTGTCCTCGACGCGTCCTGTTGAATCTGATCCTGACGCGAACACGCCCAACGCTCCCGAGAACTGACTCAGACCAACGCTCCCGAGCCTTCCATTCTCGAAGATAGACTCAGAGATAACACCTGCGGGTCACCCGAGTCACCTCGCCATGTCTCAAATTCCGACCGCCGTCTTCCCGAGCCAAGTCCCCTACCTCGTCCCCGACTTCCGCTCGCCGTCGCCGCCCACCTCGCTGTGCAGCAGCGACCCCGGCCACGACGAGACGACCATCTCCGAGAACGAGCTCGACGACGATGCGCTCGCGCGCAAAGTGACGGACATGCACGCGCTCAACGAGATCAGCGAGGAAGAGCGCCGCGCCAATGAGGACCCGAAGCTCCCCGTGCCGACGTCTGAAATCGAGGAACGTCGTGAGTGCGCATATTCAGGTGCCCGGAGGGTTCTGTGATGACCCCCCCCCCGCCCCGTAGAGCTGTATGAACGAGTGATGGCAAAGCTCCGCGCCGCGGTAGAACAGCTAGAGGAGGACGAACGGTTCGAGCAACTCGCCACACGCGGCGCCCGGATCGAGACGCAACCCAAACCCATGTCGGCGAACCTCGACGTGATCCTGCAGAGCCTGATGGGACAGTCCGTCCCCGTGCAGCCCCAATATCACGCCCACATTCAACCCACCTCTGAGAGGTTTGGTTCGCCCAACTTCTACCTGGAACCCATTCCCCCTCCCGAAACCCCCGCTGAGCGAGCAGCACGCACTAACACGGCGGCAGCAGGGCAGCCAGCGAGACGGGCGGGACGCAGCCGCAAGTGATGTACCGCTTATCGCGACTTGGAAACCTATCATGTATCGATACATCTTGCTTTGCAGTGTATATTATGGTTCAAGAAGGAATGTATCCTGTACCAATAGAATATGTAGGCTACCCCGTTCGGAGGCTCCGACTCAAATAAAAGATACAGCAAGTTATGGGACGTCAGTAAAGTGCTCCGCCAGCCCCTCCTCGACCTCCCTGAGTTTCAAACTCGTCGCAGCCAAAGCCGCCTCCTTACAGCACGCCGCAATCGCCACACCCGAATCCTGCGTCCCCGCGCCCGCGCCCGCCCCCAGCTCCACATCCAACACCGTCCTCACAATCCCCTCCGCGACCCTCAGCTTCCCCAGCACATCCACATAGCGCACCGGCAGGATCTGCGCGCCCTTCTCCAGCGCGTCCCTCCACAGCGCCGCCCACGCCTTGCCGCAGCGCGGCGGCGACGCGCACCTCACATTATGCGACAGCGCCGGCGGCGCGAGCGGGAGCTTCTCCCACAGCCTCGACAGCGCGTAGTGCCCCGACAGCAGGCGCACGCGCTGCTCGCGCGAGAGCAGCGGCTCCGCGTCCCACGCCGCGCGGCCCTTGAGCAGCATCGCGTTATACGCGAGGCCCATCAACGGGCGGATGCTCAGCCGCTCCGCCATCCCAATGGCGAGCGCGACGTCCTTCCCGTCGGCGATTTGTTCCCGCCACTTGCGCACGGCCGCGTCGAGCAGGTCCGCGCACTCGCACAGCGCGGCGAGCTCCGTGAGCTGCACGAGCGTCGGCGCGCCGCCCGCGCACCCCGCGTCGCCCGGCCCCGGGAGCGCGTCGAACGCGCCGGAGCGGGAGTAGAAGGTGACGAGCGCGCCGAGCGCCCACGCGAGGATGGACTTGAACTGGTACTTGTGCGTGATGCGCGCGAGGTTGAAGAGCAGCACGGGGTTCGCCTCGGGCGTCGTGGCGATCATCAGCTCGTGCGGTCTTTGCGCATGTGAAACGTGATTGGGAATTCAGAGGACATGCGGCGAGGAAAGGGGTGCGTACAGAGCGTAGAGCGCCCAGAGCAGCGCGCGGAACTCGTCCGCCGCGTCGCCCTGCAGACGTATGGGGTTATCATCGCTCTCGCCCTCGACAACCGTGCCCCCGACGGTCGGCGCCGCGCCCGGGCTCGCGCTGTGCCCGCCCTCCGAGGGCAGCGAGAACAGCGTGTCGAACGTCGAGCCGTCCTTCATCAGGTTCGAGCGGTGCACCTACCAGCCGCCCATTCGCGATCGGAGGTAAGCGGATGAAAGAGTGGGGTGACTCGGACGCACCTTGAAGAGCGTGTTCTCGACGAGCAGGACGGTGTTGCCGTCGGGGATGTAGTAGGCGGCGTCGCGCGTGGGGATCGAGAGGCGGAGCATGCTGTCGCGCAGGAAGATGTTCGACATGGCGGGGATGACGGGCGGCTCGGAGTCGGTCGTCGCTTGCTGCATGTAAACGCGGGTCGGGCGGGATCGCAAGGGGAGTCGCAAAGAGGACTGGAGACTGGAGATCTAGTGGTTATAGCAAAGCATAGGCCTTGTATTGGGCATGGAATAGAGGGATACGTAAGGAGAGATGTGGCAGATAGTCAGTGCCATGGGGAACAAAGGCAGCGAACGAGGCTAACTATAGCACGAGAGCGATCTATGCTTGGCAAGTCCATGAACAAATGGAGCCTCGGTGGCGGGAGCTTCAAGTTGGAAGGGACGCGGATTTCGATGAGACTCAGTGCACATCCTACTGTTACAGAACTCTGTATAAGCAGAGTAGAGTCTACCTCAAATACAAGCAGTAATAGTGCTCAGTCTACATCCGCCATGCCACTCTAGTGCCAGGCACCCCATGTGCAAGCCTACTTGGTCAACACCGTCTCCCACAGCTTCACGCTCCCCACGAGAGCGCGCACGCCAAGATACAAAACCATAAACGCCGCCAACGCCCTCCCGAGCCTCTGCCTCTTCGAAGACGGGGGGCCTTTGGCGCCCGCCGCGTCGATGGCGGCGATCTCCTCGTCCGTCAGGTCCGCTGCGAAGGCACGTATCTCTCAGCGCCTTGGCAGCAGAAATGTGCTTGAATGGAAGGATAAACGAAGACTCACGCAGGCCCGCGACGGCGAGGTACTCCGTCAAGTGCTCCTTCCTCGAGCTCGTCCTATCCGAGTGGATCAGATGACATGGCGTGAATTCATCTCGAGCTTGGGACTAGCACGCACGTCACAATCACCACGCCCTTCTGCTGCACCCACTTGAGGATGGCCTGCACGGGCGTCGCGCCGAGGCGCCTGGCGGCGGCTGCGACGGGCGCGTCGACGGGGCCGCCGGGAGTCTTCGTTACGGGGCTGTAGGCAGGGATAAGTACATCAATCTGAGCTTATGAAGAAGGACAAAGAAGGTTATAGGAGAGGAACGTACGTGAGGCTGCTGTACGCCTCGGTGACGATCCCGTGCTTGGCGGAGTAGTCGAGGAGGGACTTGTGCTCGGCGTAGTTGTACGGGTGGAAGTTTATCTGATCCCTGACGTCAGAGACACTATTCCATGGGGATGGGAGGGAGGGGAACGAACCTGGTTCACGGCCGGCACGACCTTGGCGGTCTTTACCAGTTTCTGCAGCTGTTCGAGGTTGAAGTTGCTCACGCCGATGCTCCTGGGTAGTCATGAGCAAGCACGAGACGATCTGGAAACGAATGTAAGAGGGGGAATGCGCACTTCGCCAGCCCGTCCTCTTTGATCTTCTCGAACTCCTTCCAGGAGGCCTCCAAGTTGTTCTCCACCAGCCGCGGAAAGTGGATCAGGTACAAGTCGACGGACTTGATATCTAGCTATGGACAACGAGTGAGGTGGAGCGCAGTCAGCGTACAACAGAATAAGATGTACGTACCTTTGACAGACTGGTGCGGATAGCCTCTTGGATGTCACCCCCATCGTATTTAGTAGTGATGTACAAATCGGAGCGGTCAAGCCCACTTCCCCGGATACCTTTCCCGACGCTATCCTCATTGCCATAGACTACGGACGGGGAGGGCGATTACTCTTCCAGAGTATGGAGAATTCCAGCATCAATCAACGTGCTTACTTGCAGCTGTGTCGATGTGCGAGAAACCCGTCTCTAGGGCTTGCTCGACGTATTCCGTCGCGTCCTGAAAGCATCCTCAGAGACTACCATCAGCCCCGCTCAAGACTCGTACCTTGCGATACAGGGCGCTTCCGGTACCAAACGCTATGGCCGGCATCTGGCGAGAGCGTCTGGAGAGCATCCTAGTACTGGGCGCAGAACACTCACCTCGTTGCCATCGTTGAGCTTCACAGTAGTACCAAAAGGCATCTTGACCAAGTGAATGGGATGAAAGGAACGAGTTGACCAGGGCGACGTCGCACGCCGGGCCGGATCGAGGGAGGTGATCGGGGGCGGTGCAAGACTCGTGGACCGCGGACTTGGCGACTTGCCACAGCATCCGCGAGCTGCGATTCATTGATTGAGCGGTCTGAGACATCCGCTGAAGTTACCTCAGACTCAAGCTGCCCCCCTCCCAAGAGTCTTCAAATTAGTCCAACTCGAGGATCTGCTGCGATGGCTGAACCCCAGACGCACACAAACCCAGACTGGATGGTCTGGCTGCCGCTCGAAAAGCTCGACGAGTGCGGTGTCTGTGGCAAGAGCGAGCATCTCCGACTGTGCTCACGCTGCAGCGATGTACGGACCAAGGGTCGTCCCAGCCACTGATAACCCACACATCACGAATCTACTGCTCGACCGAGTGCCAGACGAAAGACTGGCCCGCCCACAAACTCCAGTGCGGTAAGTCCCCCCTTCAACCCAACGCCAGGTCCCCCTAACACCTCGCAGGGACGACCGAGAAAGCCGACCTCTCCTCCTTCTTCCCCTTCCTCGCCGTGCTCATCGAATCCTGCCGCATCCACCCCTCCAAACCGCTCCGCCCCGCGCTCCTCCGGCAGCTCGTCAACAACCCCTTCTCGCCCGTCCCCACCAGCGCCGCCTCGCCCAACCCGCGCTGGCCGCACGCCCGCCAGTTCGTGCTGGGCTGCCCGCGCCCGCGCAAGGCTTCTTCGTGAACATGCATTATCCGTTTGTGCGCGATAAGTGGAAGGCGTGGCCGGCGGAGCCGCAGCTCGCGATCGAGGGCGACCCGGGCGAGCTGGACGACCTTGACAAGCTCGGAGGAGTGGTGGAAGGAGAACCGCAGGCTCCGTCGGAAGGCGAATAAGGAGGGGCGGGAGTTTACGCGGGATGAGATAGAGGCGGAGTATAGAAAGTGGAAGGCGAAGCACGGAGCTGGTTCGAGGGGATGCATTGTATCTTCGTGCTTCATGGGGTCTGAGGGGAATATTGTATCTTTGTGCTTCGTGTTCCATGGGTTGGATTTGAAATGTATTATGGTCACCTATCCGTTTGTATTCCTACAACTCTGTACACTTCTACCATCATTCGTCCTCCGTCCTACAACCTCTGAGCCTCATCCGCTTGAGGGAGCTCGACGATCTGGTCCGAGCCCGGGTACTCTGGCAAGTTCAAGCCAAACTTTTCCTCCATCGCCCTATTCAATCTCCTTTAGCCCTGGATGCATATCCCCAAAACACACAACCACGCACTTGGTCACAAACCGCCCACCCAGAAAATGCCTCCCCCTAAACCCCCGCACGCCCTCCTTCGGCGCCGTCAGACTGATCAGCACGTCCGGCTCGAGCCCCACGCCCGCCTCGTTCCCCTTCTCGACGTCCCACCCGCTCGGGACGTCCACGGACACGATGGGCAGCCCGGACTGCGCGAGGAGCGGGAGGGCGGCGTCGAAGGGCGCGCGCACGGGCGGCTTGAAGGAGAAGCCGAAGATCGCGTCGAGGATGACGTCCGAGTGCGCGAGGGCGTCCCGGAGGGACGAGGTGTCCGGGGACGAGGGGAGCGTGGGGATGTGCATGTTGGTGCATTGGGTTTGGAGGCGCTAGGGCGGGTCAGTGAGGTAGGGTACGCACCGCAGCTTTGGAAGGGAGTTACTTTGTAAATCTCCTTCGACCCCGGCTGCATGTTCATGAGCACAGGGTCCCACCGCAGGGCGAGTGCACGCACCTTCGGCATCCATATAGTCGGCTGGTACCCAAACATGCCTTTTTTTCACCCAAGCTTCAGCAGGACAAACCCAGCCGCGCTGTCTCGCGAATGCTCACCCAGGTGCCGCGCAGCGACGAGCCCGTCGCCGCCCTGGTTCCCCGGCCCACAGCAGACGAGGACGCGCGGGTACTTGTCGCGCTTGTACACCCGCTCGAGCGTCTGCGCACACGCGAGGCCCGCGAGCTCCATGAGCTACGGCGGATGTGTGAGGCGTGTGGTGAGCACAGCGGGAAGAGGGATGTACCTGGTCGAGGCTGAACGCCCCGGCGGTGCTCATGAGCTCCTCGTCTACCTGCGGAAATTAGTTGCGTGTTGGGTTGCCGGGCAGAGCGAGTTACCTGCTGAGCGAGTTTGGCGGTGAGGTAGCCAATGGATCTGGACATTGTGTTGTCTGTCTGCACGGTGAAGGAGAGCAAGAGACGAGTGTAGCGAGTGACATCATCGGTGGCGGCCACGGCCGGACGTAGTCAACGAGATGAAATGTCAATGTCAGAGTACAAGCGTAGCGCTATCCAGAAGAAAAGAAAAAAAAACATAAATCTCCGTCTACACAGCAGGCTTTACGCAGACGCGTCTGTGCTCGTCCCAGTCCATTTTCTGGTGCTCGGCCGAGCAGTACTTGACGAGCTTGCACCGGCTGCACACCTGCCCGAGGAACTTGGTCCGCACCAGCCCGTCCTCGCCGCACGCCGAGTCCTCGCTGCCCTCGCTCGCCGTCTCCACCACAAGCTCCTCGCTGAAGCACACCGTGCAGTCGATCCAGTTGCACATCTCCCGCGACTTTGCCCGCTTCCCGCCCCGCTTCATCGACAGCACCGCCGCGCCCTCCACGCCCCGCCGCGGGAATCGTATCATCTCGCAGTCCTCCGTGCATGACGGGTTCGGGCAGCCCGTCGGAAAGTCGTAGAAGATCTCTTCTGACGGAACGAACATCTTGTGCGTGAAGAAGATCTGCGAGTACGACGTCGCCTGGTGGGAGAACAGCACTATGAACGGCGGCCGCTTTTCGTGCAGGATCGAGCGGAACGTCAGGTCGATCTGGGGGAAGCAGGGCAGGCGCCGTTGCTTGTTCAGCGTGTGGGACAGGCGCATGTCTGTATACGTTGGATGCGGGTTCAATGCGAGATGAGAAGCCGGAGCGAGGCATGCACTAACGTTCGAGCAGAATCTGCTGTTCCACGCTCGGCTTCGGCGTCCGCCCGAACGTGTTCCGGCACACGAGCTTGAAGTACTCCGTCGCCTCGTCCATCTCCTTCCGCTTCAGGTCCGTCACGATGATGAACATCTCGTCGCACCCGTGGTCGTGCATCCCGCGGAGCAGCATCAGCTCGGGCAGCTGCGATCGCACATCACAATCGCATCTCAGCATATCACCTACCAGTCAAGCAGCCGGACGCACCATCGTAAACACCACCGGCATCATGCTCAGCTTCCGCTCCTGCATCGTGCGGTGGTAGTACACGTGCGTCGTCCACGTCCGGTCGAGCGGGATCAGGCGCTTCGTGTCCACCGTCCTGCAGAACACGTTCTCCGGCACGAACTCGCCCTTGTTCCACATGAGTATCTGCCCGCTCGTGCCCTGGCTCGCGGCGTGCCGCCGCTCGCGCACGCGGTGGAACCAGTCCCAGTAGGCGTCGTTGCGGTGCTCGAGCCATTTGTCGATGAGCACGTCCGTGGCGTCGTGGTCGAGCGTCTTGCGCACGAGCTCGCTCATCGCGAGGCTCGGCGTGCTCAGCGCGGAGTAGTGCGTGCTCGTTTTCGTCTTGCGCTTCGTCATCGTGTGAGTGGGCGAGGGGTGGGGATGGCGCTGGTGCGATGGTAGATGCTGAGCAGGCGTGTTAGCCTCAAGTATTGGGAGGCTGTGTAGGAAGAGGAAGCGCGGTCGCGGGCTCGGGATGGGGTCTCCGGGGCCGCCGAGTCTCCGGCGACGCGAATCTGCCCGCCCTAAACAGGCTTGCCGCCGGCACACCCTCTCGTCACCAAGTCCCTCGGTGCTGGTGTGCTCGCCGACCACGACGATGTGGGCGCACCTTCTTGGACTGACGCTGCTGGCGTCGCACATATCTACCAGCCATGGCCTGTCCAGTAACCCCATCCACCTGATGGGCCGCCAGGGCGTCAACCTGCGGCGGCTAGACCAGATCAATGCTGCCCGTGCCCGCGCACATTCCTCCGGGCTCGTCGTCCAGGACGCGTTGTTCACCCCTACCCAGCAACCCGAGGCCGAGTTCACCGCGTACACCTTCGAGCAGCCGCTCGACCACTTCAGTAACGCGACGGCGGACACGTTCGGCCAGCGGTACTGGGTCAACACAAGGCATTACAAGCCTGGGACGAATGCGCCGGTTATTGTGCTCGACGGAGGGGAGACGAGTGGGGAGGATAGGCTGCCGTTCCTGGATACTGGGATTGTGGAGATACTTGCGAAGGCGACCGGAGGGGTGGGGGTTGTGCTGGAGCACAGGTATTATGGTGCGCACGGGCTTGTTTGTATCCCCTCTCTCCGTACGAATAATATGCACGTCAGGCGGGTCTATACCCGTAAAGAACTTCTCTACGGATTCTTTGAGGTAGAGTTGGCATACCCATCTGTGGTTCGGGGCGTGCGTGACGGCGCTATAGGTTCTTGGATAATGACCAGTCGGCAGCGGATTCCGCCAACTTCATGCGGAACGTCAACTTCGATGGGATAGACGAGAACCTGACTGCGCCGAACACTCCGTGGATATACTATGGCGTATGTCGCGTGTACGGGTAACCCAGTTGCTGCTGACTGGGATATTGTCTAGGGATCGTACGCTGGTGCGCGCGCGGCACACATGAAGATCCTCTACCCAGACTTGGTTTACGGAGCGATCGCATCCAGCGGTGCGCGTCGCTTATTATCTGTATGAAGACTTGCAATGACAGTCCTACGTAGGCGTCACACACGCGCAAATCATGTACTGGGAATACATGGACATCATCCGGCGCGCCGCCGACCCCAAGTGCTCCGCGCGCATCCAGACGACCGTCAAGACCGTCGACGCGCTGCTCGCCGTCCCCCGGCTGAAGCGCACGCTGAAGGGGCTCTTCGGCCTCGCGGACCTGGAGCACGACGAGGACTTCGCGTCGGTGCTGGAGACGCCGCTCGGGTACTGGCAGGCGAAGGTGTGGGATCCGGCAGTGGGGAGCACCAAGTTTGACGAGTTCTGTGAGGCGCTGGAGCATGGGGGTGCGCAGAGTGTGACGTTGCCCGGCGGGCTGAGTCTTGATTTCGCGCTGCTGAATTATGCGAAGTGGATCAGAGAGGTATTGGATCGGTTCAGATATGTGTGTTACGTGGTGTTATTGACGGTTGTCTGCAGAATGTTGTCTCGCAGTGTCCTGAAGATATGACTGTTGAGGATGTAAGTCGTCCGATATGAATTCGAGCGAGATGCTAACTTGCATTGCGGCACAGTGTTTTGGCACTTTCGACGATGCCAAGTTCCAGGATACGTCCCTCGACCAGACATGGCGTGCTTGGCAGTTCCAAGTGTGCACACAGTGGGGTTACTTCATCGTAAGTACCTCTTTGATCCCGTGGCATTTTCATTCGTCAGATCGTCATTCCATAGACTGCACCACCAGACCGTAGCCAGCCCAGTATACTCTCGAAACACATTACTTTAGAGTATCTGTCTATGATCTGCCGCCAGGTATGTACCCTGTTACGCATATTCGCGGGTTGAGCTTGGCCTCGAACATTCCACGGGTAGGCGTTCCCTAAGGGCGAACACTTCAAGGTGCCTGCAATGCCGAATGTTACAGCCGTTAATTCTCTAGGCGACTTTGCGATCGCTGCTGATCGGCTAGCAATCATCGACGGCGAAGGTACGCATGTGCCTGGACATTATTGCCGTTTGTAATGACGGATGATTCTCCGCCAGTCGACCCTTGGAGGCCTGCGACGCCCCACAGCGAGTATGCACCTGACAGATCGGACACGGTCCTACAGCCTTTCAAGCTGATTCCTGGTACGTCTGTTGTTCCTTCTAGATCTATATGTAGGTGGCTGACTCCTTCGCTTAGATGCGGTGCACCATTACGATGAGTATGGCCTGCGGGATATTACGCAGGAGCCACCTGAGATCATGAAGGTCCACCTGGAGATGATTGACTTTGTGACAGAGTGGTTAAAGGACTGGAAGAAGAGCTCGTCGTAACACACCTTGTAGGTACGGCCTACAGCCACCGTATATGTGCACTTGCATAATGATCTAGTGAACGTTTTGCCCGTTCGGTATGCCCCCAGCATCAAATGCCGGTAGATTCGGCTTATCCTCGTATCGAAGTGTTGATCCTCCTGCCAGTGGCAGTGACCGGAGGTGGATCCGGTCTCGGTTTGATCTGCGAGTGAGCTGATGGCGGTAGGGTTGCCTAGCAGTGGCGGTGTTCCGACGCTAGAAGTGGGTTGCATTCATTGCGCGCTCTGCTATGTAGCTGGTATGCTTGCCGATATGCTCGACGGTGGCCGAGAGCCAAGCTTTTACGATGCGTGCACTACCGGTCGTCGGGCAGACGTTATCCCTCGCACACATATATAAAAGAGTGGGGGAACGGCGTTGAGTCGGTAACGTTTCCTGCAGCGGGACGCCTACGACCTGTCTCTTGTAAGTTCTTGTCTGTTGACTGCAGGTTCGCGCGGACTGAGAGCATGCTTCACAGTTTATTGGTTCAAACATGGTCTCTACTCGCGTTCCTTTATTACACGCTCCTTGCCTAATATGGCTATCCACCTTCCTTTTATCGCTGGGTACGCCCGCCATCGCAGTGGGACACCTCACTGACGAGCAGTTGTCGAAAATCGAGGCTAACCTGGCCGACGGCGCTCACGACCCGTGAGCCACAGAGCGTCCGCCTTTGATTTTGATGACACTGATTTTCGTTTAGCTGGGAACTTGGGACTCGTGCGCAGGCCGTGACTGAACTGCACGCCCCTTCCTTCTCGGTGTTCTCGAACACCAAGCTGCCGGTCCCCTCTTCAGAGTTCAAAAACGGACTTCCTGCCGGCCTTGACCAAGTCCTTGAGATCGCTCATGATGTCGTTGCGAATCGTTCAGTGTCCAATGGCGGCATCACCGGGCCCCAGCCGCTCGTGGCGAACGGCGCCGCAGGAGACCCCGCTAGTATCGGTGTTGCGGTGTTGGTAGCTAACTGGACGCTTGGGCCGAACGGTGGAGATGGCAAATACGGCGGCCAAGACTACGCCGGGGCTGCCAAGGATCAGCTCGATTTCTTGCTGGGTGACCAGGTGCCGAAGACGGACGATGGAGCTATTTCCCATCGCACGGAGCAGGTTCAGCTATGGAGCGACTTTGTGTACATGGTCCCTCCGTTCCTGGCTTACTATGGTGTTACCACTGGCAACCAGAGTATGTGGCACCCGCTCTTCCTCAGACCGCATGTTAACGGTGAGATCGACTAGCTCTCCTCAAGATGGCCTATGATCAGTGCAGGCTTTACCGCAAGTATCTGCTGGACCCCGAGGCGGGTGGGATGTGGAAACACATCCTTCTGGGAGACTGGGACGACCAGTTTCACTGGACTACCGGTAAGTGTCTGAGTTACCGGTGGCTTTGGCCGCTACACTAGTTCACGAACGCGAAATCCCGCGAGCCTTAGTACTTCCATAGGACTATAGCGTACTGACTGGCTTGATGCAGGGAATGGTTGGGCTGCCGCTGGAATGCTCCGCGTCCTCGCTACGATCCAGCACTCCGAGTACGCTGATGCTCTCAAGAGCGAGCAGGCTGATTTGGCAAACTGGGTCTCAGAGATTCACGATGGCATATACCCTCACCTTGTACGTCATTTTTTAAAAATATTTTCCCTCGGCGACCTCTAATAAGGGATTTGCTATGTTCAGCAATTGAACGGTATCTTCAAGAACTACCCTGACGCCAATGCGACCGGCAACTTCGACGACGCCGCTGGTGCCACCATCTTGGCGGCATCAGTGTACAGACTCGCGTCCGTCTGGGGTGTTGAGACTCACATCGCCGATGCCGAGCGCAGTCGTGCTGCTCTCTTAGGCCCTAACCTCAAGTGCGTCTCTCCCCCATTTTGACATGCTTTGTGGGCACCACTTAAACACGATTAATTTAGTGTGACCAACACCGACTCCAAGTTTGAGCACTTCACGTCGGACTTCTGGCTCACGCCTGTAGTCTTGCCGTACGACTTCCACCAGTTGGGCAAGCACTCTCCCGAGGCTCAGGCCTTCGTACTCGAGATGGAGGCCGGTCGCAATGACTGGCTTGCCGGGAAGAACAAGCGATCTGCTCGTGCGGAACGTATGCACAAGAATCGTATGCATCACGAGATATAATCTTGTACAGCCTCGGAGAACCCGTCTAGCTACTTTGCAGCGACGGAGTGACTGGAGACACGTTATTATTGGTCTTGGTATTTAGTTAGATTAATCCAGTCATTGAATAGGTCTCCTTGAGCATGATTCAGAAAGATGAAGTGGACCTGGCGGATGTTAGTGTTGCCACAGCCACAAATAGAGCCACACCGTCGCGCTTCCACGGGTGTAACAAGGTTCGCCGCGAGATTGTCACCAACATTCGATCTTCCTCGCGACTCTCATCTCCCAACACGTAATGTCGCGAGCGGACGATCTGACCTTAACCAGGCTATGTAACAAGCCAGAGACTCTTTCTAGGGCGCGAGCCCTTCTCCATGTGGCGAAAGCGAGAACTGGTCCAGGATCGGGACACGAATTGGGCGATGGCGCGCCTGGTCTGCCTGCGGTGTGCGCGTATCTCGCGTCCTTAGAGTGCGTATCGTCGGTGCTGCGTTGGGTGATAGCTCAAGATCTTTTCCAGACTCAACAACGGCGATGTCAACGAGAAGATTGCGCACAACAGTTCCTGCCTTGCGCCCAAGATCTTCACCAACGTCGTCAATGTCGTTCGCATCGTTTTGGCGGAGTCCGACCTGGAGGCTAGGCTGAAGGAGGTCAAGTATGAGGATCTCATGGCATCGCACAAGGTCCTGCGCGGAGATCTTGTCCTTCCATGGTTGAGGGAAGCGGAGGCACTGCTGCTGCAGAGCGGACAGGTCCGAGTGAAAAATCATCCTGATGATGTCTTGGTGAAGTGTGCAGTGTTCTATTGGACGAGCCAGTTGCTCGGTGTACGTATGATATTCCGCAAGTCTACATTTCTTGAGCTGTGTTCACACCGAACCCTTGCAGCTCGTGCGGATAAAGCGACCACATCTTACAAGACCCCATGCCATTGACCCCGACGAATTCGACGATCTCCTTCTGACCATCGACGACGTCTGTTTGTCTATTCGAGACCGTATTACCGCAGAGGTGGCCCGCCTCAGGGAAGAGGCCAAGAAGAATACTGCTAAAACGACAACAGCGGCATCCTCTTCTGCCAAAAAGCAGACAAAGCCGAAACCGCCCAAGCCCTCTGGCTCTTCCGCTAAGAAGCAGGTTGCAAAAGAACCATCTCCAGCTACCGCTTCCACCAGCAAGTCACCCTCAAAGTCAGCTCTTAAACGTACACTGCCTACTCCATCTGTTGCAGAGCCAGATGCCAGCCCGTCGAAGCGCAGAGTTTCCTTTATGCACACCGCGGATCTGGCAGATACACTCCCTCAGACACCTTCGAAAAGACGGAGGGTCGCTGCTACCCCTACATCTGGATCAATGACCTCGCAAGATGAAGCTTCCGCGCTCTCTGCGCCGTCCCCCACGAAATTACCGGGCCTGAACCTCACTGGGATCCAAGAAGACGTATCTGAGCAGACAACACTTCAGCAACCTACGCCTGTTCCTCCTGCAGTGGGTTCGGCTACTCCACGTCGCAGCAGCCGGCTCAGCCAGCCAGAGCCGGAGACCCCCGCCAGTGAAGTCGTTGAAGATGGCCCAAGATCCTCTGACGAAGAGCAAGACGATCGGGAGAAGGGCTTATCGCGAAGCAGGCAGTTCCGCTGCCCGTTCCTCGATCGAAGACAGTGGTACCGGCGGGATCCCAAGATTGAGAGGGAGTGGAAGATGGCGGAGGCGTTCAAGCAACGGATGGTGGACGCGCGCGGGCATCCGTTTGCGCGGCTTCGTCCAGCGCAGTTCCCGTGAAGCTGCTCGTCCTCCAGCTTAGTGAGTAGTCCGGCGCCCGGGTCATAACAGTGACTAATTCGTCCTTATAGTTGGGTTCTCACTCCAGGACTTTGGCTTGCGCTTTCAGGTTTACCGGCCCATGTTTCTGGTGGGATCATGGAACAGGGTGGTTGGCCAAGCTCCCTCGTGGTGGGCCCAGCATGCCCAAGCTGCGGTTCTACGATCAGAAAAGCTATACAACTTCTGTCGAGAGGAGATAAGGACGGTGGAGGTTGACCGCGCGAATGTTATGCAATGTTACGGTAGTAATACTGACCCAGTAATGTGTTATCTTTTGTGCTGTATGTATGCTCGTAATGTATGTCCCCCGCTGTACGAACGATGTACGACACCGTGCTACGCGTCATGCGCATCGCCTTGTGCGGTCGTTGCCACCGACGTTAATGAGACGCGTGCGTCGACGCGTTTGAGGCTGAAATCACAGGCAACGCCGCGGCCCGAGGGCGTCGCGTACGTATTGCCCCCGCGGCCGTATGAGTGCCATCGATCATTCCAAGATCATCCTGCGCGGTCGACCTCGCTTCTGCTGCTTCCCGCGACGTTGACGGTATATCAAAATGCGAAGAGCAAACAACGCCAGGCAGGCGAATTCCTGCGCTGCATTTGGCTGCACGTTGTCTGATTGCCCCGAGCTGCTCGGCTTGTCGGTCACGGGAAACCCGAGACAAGGTGTATGTAAGTCTCTTGTGTATCTTAAGTTGGACGCCCAGCGTACTGACCGCGCTCCCCGTTAGCCCGTGAATCCCCCTTCTGCTTTACGCCGCCATGGTCTCTCTCGACGACGTCCCCGCGCACCTGAAGACGCTGTTCGATCCCGCCACGTGCACGCGCAAAGGACTGTGCCCGGTCACGCACATACGGAAGCAGGACCATGATCCGCTCGAGAGCCATTCGTTGTACTTTGAGATTCACGGGAAGGGCCCGGAGAAGGTCTTGTTTATCATGGGGTTCGTGGGTCTCGCGACGTCTTCGAGTGGTAAACCTAACATGCCAGGGATAGGATGAACACCCCATGCTTTTCCTGGTCTCCTCAGGTCGATCACTTTGGCAAGTCGCCAAAGTACACCGTGCTGGTGTTCGACAACCGAGGGGTTGGGAACAGCGATTCCCCAAGAGGGCCGTACTCGTGGGTCCCTGCCTCCTCTAGCTCCCCGTACCGTGTATCAAGTTTGTAATATGCGCCACTGACAGGACAAGTCAAATGGCCGAGGATGTAGTCGTGCTGCTAGACTTTGTCGGCTGGAAAGAAGAGCGAAGTGTGCACCTCGTTGGCTGTTCCCTAGGTGGAATGATTTCGCAAGGTGTGGTTCATCAGGCACTCGTTCTGTGTACGTGCTGACCTCCACGATCTTCCAGAGCTAGCGTATAAGATTCCCGAGCGCTTCATCTCCTTGTCGCTTGCGGTGACCACACCCGGAGGCACGCGACCGTTCACAAACTTTCCATCAGTGGGCCTCATACTCCTCATAACCCAAGCAACGGACTAATCAGCGATCGCGACTAGTGGGAAGCCTTGAAGCTGTTGTATAAGTATGTCACGCTTATCATTCGGGCACAGACATGTACTGATAGATGTCTTCCTGCGCTGCAGAGTGACAGTCGAACCTGACTTGGAAAAGAGAATCCCCTACATCCTTTCCATGGGCTTCCCTGCTAAGTGGTTAGAGGAAAAGGTCGAGGGCGACCCGGATGGCCGGACGAACCGCGAGGTTCAGACGGAAGTGAGTTGGTACCATGCACCTCGTTGGCACTCTGAAGCACTCACCATCCATATTCGACAGCTGTACAAACGTCGCATGGCGGTCACCCGCAAGCAGACCCCTGGCGGCGCACTGTCGCAGATGCTCGCCGCGCTGACGCACTACGTCTCCTGCGAGCGCCTGCACCATATCTCGCGGAGCATACCAAAGGTGTTCATCGTCACCGGCGACGAGGACATGATGGTCTCGACGAAGCACAGCGACCGCATAAAGGACTGCATGCCCGAGGCAGAGTTTTACAGGTTCAAGGGTACCGGGCACGGCGTGCACGCGCAGTACGTCCGCCAGTTCAACGAGTTGCTAGAGAAGACGTGGGAGGATGGGAAGAGCAGGCTGGAGAATTCGAAGCAATAGGGAAGGGGTGGTGTGGGTGGGTGGTATACGGATAAGTTATAGAACTCGGGCTTGATATAGACGTCTTAGACTAAGACAACCAGATATGTATTACGACCTGATTACGACCAAGTCACGACTTTGTACGATTTCCCCTTCGACAAATTAGCTTTCTTCTCGTTTACTCTTGTGTGTCGGATAAATAGCCCGTCCATGGATGGTTTACAAACTCCCCTTGCACGGCAACATTCCCGTTGAACGCATAATTGTCGACGATACACGTCCTGCGGACTGTAGATCTTGAAACTTGAAGACAATTTGAGATGGGCCGCTCGCATATGACTGAAATCATAAGCTTCCTGAATATTACTGTAATCACGGGGAAATAGCCCCTAATTGCTCCGCCTACCGGCTGCACCGATTGCGAGTCGCGACAGTGTTATGATCAGTCCCAATTTACCAGCAACTGTCACTGCGACTCGCGTCGCCCCCTCATAAAGACGGCAATGACTTCGACTTCAACAACCGACACTGTCCCAGAGGACTTGAAAACGCTCTTCGACCCGAAGACATGCACGCGCAAGGGCCTCTGCCCGGTCACCGAGATTCGGAAACAGGGCGAGGACCCGCTGGAGAGCCATTCGTTGTACTTTGAAGTGCATGGGAGTGGGCCGGAGAAGATTGTATTTATCATGGGGTACGTTCGCAGTTCAGTCTGTATCTGCGCACAGAGGACTCAGGGGTGAACGGGTGGGATGTAGGCTGAATAGCACGAGCTTCGCGTGGGCGCCCCAGGTCGAGTACTTTGGGAGGCAGCCGGAGTACTCTGTGCTCGTGTTCGATAATCGGGGGGTCGGGAACAGTGGTGTGCCTCGAGGGCCGTATTCGTATGTATCCCATTCGTCTCATGTAGTAATGTCACGCGACATTCACGACCGCGTTACAGGACGAGCCAGATGGCAGAGGACGCAATTGTGCTCCTAGATTATATAGGATGGACTGAGAAGAGAAGCGTGCACGTCGTCGGGATCTCGTTGGGCGGGATGATCTCGCAAGGTGCGCCTTCCCCGCCGCGCGAGAGAAAGGGAGCTTCAGCTGACAGGTTGTGTCACCCCACCCTACTAGAATTGGCGACGAGGATCCCCGAACGGATCGTATCGCTGACGCTGGCTGTGACAACGCCAGGCGGGTGGCGGCCCTTTGCCAATTTACCGTCGGTGAGCGTTTTCGCCGTATCCTTCGTAAGGAGGATTTCCTAACTAGTTGAAGTGGAAAGGTTTGAGTGGGTTGACGAGGTATGCGTGTTTGGCCGAACTATATGTTATCTAACCCAGGTCTTCCTGGCAGAGCAACATTTATAACTGACCCGGCAAAGAAGATACCCATAGTCCTGGAGATGGTCTACCCCATCAAGTGGCTTGATGAAAAAGACGAGGACGACCCACTTGGCCGGACAAACAGAGAGGTTCAGACAGAGGTTCGCCGCACGTATTCTGAATATATGACAAGAACTGACGCATTGCCGATTATTTTCACAGCTGTACGCCGAACGCATGCTCGTCACCCGTCCCCAAACCATGACCGGTGCCTTATCCCAGATGCTCGCAGGCATCACCCACCACGTCTCCCCCGAGCGCCTCGCCTCTATCTCCAAAAGTATACCCAAGGTTATAATTGTGACGGGGGATGAAGATAATCTGGTGGATACGAGGCACAGTGACCGGCTGAAGGAGTGCATGCCAGAGGCGGAGTTCGTGAGGTTCGAGCATACGGGGCATGGGATTCATGCGCAGCAGCGGAAGAAGTTCAATGCATTGCTGGAGAGGGTGTTCAAGGAAGGCAGGGAGAGGGCGCAGAGTGGATTCTAGGGCGGGAAGAGGTCCATGGCGGGGCGCCGTATAGGCTGGACAAAGACGATACATTAGATGTACTGATGATATATATACCACTGGAGGATAATCGTTGATTATTGTACCCTTATTGACAGTCCTGGAAACTTACCGAAGTGCACGTAGAGTGCTCAGCCATGTCACCGCTCCTTCAGCATGTCTTTCACCACTGCTCGATGCTCTTTCGCAACTGGCTTGAAGACCCTCTTGTTCACCAGGGGCTCCAATCGGATATTGGACGGATACCTGGCGCCTGCCTGCTCCTTCCGCCGTTGCAAGGCGTCCATGAGGGTGGGTTTGTCTTCCGCTTTCGTAGTCGGTGGTAACGAGGGGATGATTTCGACCTTGCTCTTCCAAGGCGTATTAGGGTCCACCGTCGGCAATCTTGAGCGCGGTATAATGCGCACCAGGCGGCGAGCTGAGGGATGCATGGTTGTCCGATTTGTATGAAGGCCGCTTCAAAACCTTTACTGCTAACTGCGGCGATTGCCGTGACTACGAAACCATCCACTTGCTTCGGGAGCCCGATGAGTTATATTCGCAGACGCTATGTCATCGCATTTGCGGGAGGCTATAGCTTATGCCATTGCGACTGTGATCGTCACTCTCCTCGTCCACAGCCGTACTGTATTCGTGCATCCTGCCGTCAATTATCGACCGCCTCTTCAGCCTCTTCAAGCCGAATCCTTATAGCCTAAGTCTAGCTATGTTCAGCTTTCTCAAAGGGAACCAGAGGTATGAGGGCAAGCCGACCGTGCTGGAGGCGTGCGATCTAGCTTCGATCGTGAAGTATATGAAATCAGACAAGTGCAAGAGGGTGTTTATCATGGTTTGTGGATTATCACGCCTTTCGTGCTTATAGCTTTGTGACGCGCTTTCGCAGAACGGAGCAGGTAGATTGGATATTCTCATACGTACAGCGACGAAGGGTCTTACCTGTTGGGCCTCAGGTATCAGCACCTCCTCTGGAATACCTGACTTTAGATCCCCAGACACCGGTGCGAAGCCTTGAAGCCTCGCGATAAGCACCAAGCTAACATTGCTGCCGTACCGTCATGCAGGCCTCTATGTAAGCAACCTACCTAGGATCAGACCTGGACCGGGCAACTCATATATATTGTTCCAGGCCAACCTTGCCAGACTCAACCTCCCCTACCCTGAGGCTGTCTTCGAGATCAACTTCTTCCGCAGGAATCCCAAGCCATGTACGTAGCGTACATGATAGGTGTCTGCACAGCCCTCCTCATACCTCCTTGTGCAGTCTACATGCTAGCGAAAGAGCTGTATCCAGGCAACTTCCGCCCGACTCCCGCGCACTCTTTCATCAAGGTCCTCGACAACCACAAGAAGCTCGTGAAATGCTTCACGCAGAACATCGACACCCTAGAACGGCGCGCGGGCGTCCCCGACGATAAGCTCGTCGAAGCGCACGGGAGCTACGCGTCGCAGCGGTGCATAGACTGCAAACGCCCGTACGACGCGCAGAAGCTGAAGGACAAGCTGTACAAGGAGGAGGTTGCGAGGTGCGAGAAGTGCGGCGGGCTGGTGAAGCCGGATATCGTGTTCTTCGGGGAATCGGTATGCACTTGGGTGATGATTGGGATAATGCTGACGAGCTTCGCTAGCTTCCGCCACTATTCCACCGTTCGATCCCACTGCTCCAATCTGCGGACCTGCTGATTGTGATGGGGACGTCGCTGGTGGTCCACCCCTTCGCCTCGCTCGTGGACCTGGTCCCGGAGGATTGCCCGCGGCTGCTCATCAACCTCGAGCATGTCGGCGATTTTGGCAGCCGCCCGAACGACGTCGTGTACCTCGGGAAATGCGACGACGGCGTGCGCGAGCTTTGTCGGTTGCTTGGCTGGGACAAGGAGCTGGAGAGGGAATGGGAGAAGACGAAGTATACACTGGAGCGGTTGCAGGAGGATGTGGCTAAGACGGAGGTTAAGGAGAAGGAGGCGGAGGAGAAGGTGAGTCAGGCGAGGACGGATGCGGAGAAAGAGGAAGCGCAGAAGGAGTTGAAGGCGGCGGAGTTAGAGGAGAAGAAGACAAAGGAGGAGGAGGCTAGGATCAGGAAATTGAGGAGTGAGGAGGAGGAGTTGCCGCGGGAGGTGGACGAGTTGGCGAAGGAGATTGGAGAGTCGCTCGCTGTCTCGGATAAGGGGGATGTAAAGCCTGAGGTGACTACCGGCTCAGAGCCAGAAGCCGAGGAAGAGAAAGATGGTACGGAGGATCTGAAGGGTCCTGAAGGTAAACTCTAGCGCTGCAGTCGAAAGCAGGTTGTTTCCTCCCCCATCCATGTAATTTGCCTTGCTGTATCGCTTATCCTGCTGTTGCCTGGACGCTGTCATGTTTAAATAGATATTTACTGTACCTTTGATTGTATGCGATATTGATTTCTGTGCATGTTCATGTATAGGTAGTCACTGCTCCCCGCCACGATATAAGGCTTGATCTCCAACATCATCTGGCGCCTCCTTCTGTCCACTGGAACATGTCTTCTGACGCTGATAGTCCTGACTATATCAGCCTGACGCTCCCTTATAAAGTATCAGGCGGAAAGCCCATTCTTCTCGACCTATACATACCGGCACACACCACGTCCACCGAGAGCGACATCGATGCCAAAGGTAGTGCGGGCTTACCTTCTGTGGTTTACTTCCATGGTGGAGGCTTGACCGTCGGGAACAAAACGTCCTGGTTTCCACACTGGCTTCAAAGTCAGTTAGCCCCTCATATCGGGAGTGTATTGCGACTACTGGCCACGAGCGCGCAGAGCCTTGGTTCATCCAGTCTGGAGAAGGCAGGATTGAGTCTTTACCGCACTGCCATGAACCAAGGCTTCTGCGCATGAAGGACTATGTGGTTGGCCTGAGTATAACTGCCTGACGTTCCCCTTCACAAGCACGCCTCAATAAAGCGGAAGTAATCTTCATTTCGGCAGACTACAGGCTCATACCCCCCGCAACTGGACATGACATCCTTGCCGACGTCGTCGACCTGTTCGAGTTCCTCTCCACTCGGGCGAATGATCTCTTACACCAACACCTACCCGACACGACTAGTAAGTGACACAATGAACGGGTATCAGTTTAGTTGTAATGCGAGCTGGGTACAGCTCGACTAGACCCGGATGCCATGGCGGTGGCCGGGACAAGCTCGGGTGGCTTATGTGCCTATCTCGCTGCTATGCATGCTAGGCCAAAGCCAAAAGCTGTTCTGTCCATGTACGGCATGGGAGGCGACTTCTTGGTAAGCATCTTTCGTTCACCAGTTCGAGCATCTCATTGGAAAGTCTATTTGACCTCCTCGGCTCACAAGACGCCTCAATACCTCGCAGTCAAAACCGAACCATTCTTCCGGGGTAGAGAAATGCTTGATCCTGCGTCGTTCGGTCAATATACATACCCAAAAATGCAATCCGGAAGGAAGTCTGGCTCACCACGATCAGGGGACGAAGAAGCAATGATCAGCGATTCGCCACTGGCTTATCACCCGGCTACCTCACCTACGCCTGGGTATCCCGCCAGTCCTCGTATGCAGCTTACCCGGCTGTATTTACAATTGGGTGTCTTCCTGGACTATTACACTGGATGCCATGAGCCAAGTCTCAGCGCCCAGCTTCGGGAGGCGCTGACGAGCTCAAGTGACGACGATGCTCACTTAGAAGCCCACATGAGGTCCCTGATCCCAGATGAACACTTGTGCCTCTTCCCGCAGTTCGACTCTTTGAATGAATGGCCGCCAGCACTGTTGGTCCATGGAACGTCTGATACAGCTGATAAGATTCGGGAATCCGAGCACCTGCATGCACTCCTTCAAGGCGCTGGAGTCGACGTTATCCTGAAGCAAGTTGAGGGAGAGGAGCATTCCTTTGATTATCAGGCCGATGCAGAAGAGAGGTTTGGGCGCATCATGTTTGACGACGTTGCCGAATTCCTTGTAAAGCGCCTGCAGCTGGGCGCTTAGAGGACGATGTGTAATATACAAAGGTAGGGATTTGGGTGCATGACGAACGCAAACGCCTTTGGTATTTCTGGAACACACGGTAGCATTATTGCATTCTGCAAAATAGCAAGGTGAGGGACTCATTCGCTCCGGTCTGCCGTCGGACTGCATTCGTCTGGTAAGCCTATGTCCGCGGAGAAGCTATCGTACAAGAGCAATTGGTATAGATACACATACAGAGTCCTTTCTTCTGCTACGAAATTACTTGTTCAACCTCCACATTCCATCTCTAACCACGACTAGACCTTCCCTCCTGGCAGCTTCCATGAACATCCCAAGTTGCTCGATGCTCCGATCATAGCCCCGCGCAAACTTCAGCATGTTTTGTATTCGGTCCAGTGGAAGAGACCCGAGATTCGTGAGCATCCCTTCTATGTACTAGAAGAAAGGCAAATATTCGTTAGCGCAAATAGCATCATCGGCCAACGAAGAGCGCAACTTACGTTCCAAAAGACGCGCATTTGTTCAGCTTGCTGCTGCTGTGTAGTTTGTACCGCGGGTAGTTCTTCTATCCCTGTCACTGTCCGGCCGTTGAAGCACGTATCCCGTCAGAATGCCTGACTACGTACTGGGTTTCGGTGCCGAGACCGTTCCTTCTTTCTTGGAGGACTCTTCAGCAACTTCCAGTAGTCGATATTTGTCCGCGCCCTCTTCCTTGAGGACACCCAGATCGACCCACACGTTCAAGCCTTTGCGTAAGTGTTCCTTGTCGAGGCGTTGCATCTGGGCCATGAGCTCGCCCGCAGTCCACACATCTAGGAAACATCAATCAAAGACTACAGACTAGAGGCAGGAAGAACGCACCCTTCTCAGAGAATAGTTCGATGATGGCAGCTGCCACGGGAGTCACTTCGGCTTCGATAGTGCGGTCTTGTAGCTCCAGCTCGAGCTTTACGGACCCCATATGAGACAGCCATACGAGTCTCTTGTCAGGCTTGAAAGCCGTGAACTCCCGCGCATACTCTTCTTGAATTCTGTGGCATGTTTAAGAAATGGGACAGACTTCAAGTGGCATAGTGCTTACGATCGTAATTTCTGTGGCATAACGAAGCTTCCGCTCTGCAGGGATGGCCAGAAATGTCTCGAAATGATAACTGGGTGAAGAATGGACTACCGCAACGTCGTACAAAGCAATGTGAGGGATACTGAGGAACAGACATACAGGTTTCTGTGACTGCACGTGCTGGTCGATGCGCCGGGAATCGGTCATGTCACGTAACATGACCTCGCATACCTGCAAGGCCTGCTCGCCGAAGCGTACTTTCAGTATCTCAATATTACGGCGCTACAGGAGGACGTCAATTACGCTGCACCCGGGAATCTTCGAAACGTACCTCTTTTTCGTAGTTACCGTCCGTCACAGCGAGGAGCCGTTGTGCCAGTAGTACTTGCAGCTCCTTCACGAAGACGTCCTTCGTGTCATATATGCTCACCAAGGTACTGATGACGTCTCCCGGCTTATTCGCGCGGAAATCTGACTCGCAGTCAGCTCGGAAGACATCAGACAATTCGAAGTCACCCACCAGGCCCTGCATCTATCGGTTCCGGTTCCCAATGCGGGTCTGAGTAGTCCTCTGCGTCCTTGGTGAGGTACGGCAAAGGCGGCTCATCGTCTATTAAGGACTCTCCGTTCTCATTGTCCCCGACGAGGCTGGAGACTATGCACCGAATCGTATCTGCGCGATCCCTTTGTAGGGGCATAGGGATTATCAGCGTAGTGACACAAGGGCCAAGTAATTTTCGTACCGTAGGTATCGGCGAATAGGGTCTGCCACCTTGTACAAGAGGACGCCTGGAGGATCCACTATGCGCAAGCTGCGGATTGTAGAGACATATTGTGCTAGAATATCCTTCGTGTCTGCGCCAGGATGGAGAAGTCGTTTCTTGTTCCTGCGGAGCAAGTCAGGAGGAGTGACAGTGTCCGACATGCACCGTACGCTTTTCGCAGACTCTGCACTAAATTAGAACGCTGGTCTACGCGATAGAGACATTCCTTGGAAGAGTTCGTCAGAAATAAGACGTGAAAGACATGACGCCCTATCCAAGGTATAGCGTACCTTCAAATCATACAAGGCGTCAATGGAATCAGGATAATCGACAATGATGTCGAAGATTTCTGACGTGCTGTCCCAAGTGAGCTGTCGATGCGACGCGGCATGGGAACTATCGAAGGTCCTTACCGGAGGTCACATAAGGTCTTGCACACATGGAAATCAAATCGCGGCCCAACCCCATGTAAACTCGCCCCCGCCTCCTCCACTAAAACAGGTCGCGATCGGTTGCAGAAACAGCAGGCAGTGGCACTCACTAGTCCTCGCTCCCGGGGCATAAGGGAGGCACATCCACGGCAACACCTTATTCTGCATCCAATCCCGCAGGTCCTGCAACATCCTCTCTGACCACTGCCCCGCACACGTCTCCACTACGTGCTTCTCCACCAACTCATAGCAGACGCTAGAAATGAGGGACTCGTACCGCTCGATCAGCCCAAGGGCATGGAATGCGTCCCAAAGCGCTCTATCTGGGGGCGGTGCGGGATCGGACACGGGAAGGGTGGACGCGATGAGGTCCTTGAAGCCGCTCGAGAAGGATGGAGGGAGGACGGAGTAGATGTGGGTTTGGAAGGCGTCGGTGTACGAGTCGATAGCGACGTGTCCTAGGCTTTCCAGTGGGCCGGGATGGCCGTCAGTCCTGGGCCGGGTTCTGTCGGAGATCATTCAAGATGATAGGCAACGCTTACTCAGTTGTCGGTCGCCATGCATTGAACCATTCTACCAGTCTATGTACCAATTGTGCGATTATCTGTGAGTCCGCGGTTTCCTGCGTGGGGAAACGTTGACATGTACCTCGGTCACGAGTACAAATGCATACGGGCGCACCTCATACTCATGCATATAAGCCTCTACGTCTTCTGTAATTAGATGACGCTGCTGGCGCATCTCCTCTGAATGTCGTCAGCCCATAGATGGACACTCAGGACCTCCAAACAACGGACCTAGGAAGTTCTCAAGGACCCCATGAAGCTGCTTCGTCTGATACAGGAGACGGAAAGCATTTGCCATGACATCGCTGTCTGAGAGCACGCCACAACTCAATTCGTTGTGATGAGATGGCAGGATGCAAACGCACGATATTTTCGCCGCGGCTCCGATAAGGCTCGAGGACGGAGAAAGTCAGACGCCAGCTGCCGTGCCTGGTAGCAGAGTAGATTAGTACTTCAGCAGCCACAGTCACATTCCTTTTAACCTGACTCGTTTTCAACAGCCCTGAAATTCCAGGCTCTTCGCGGTTGAGCGTCTTGAAGGCGCTCTGCCACTTGGCCTCCACAAGAGCCTGAACCCCAGGGGAAGCCATGCCAGTCCAAGGCGGCAGTCTTAGCCAGTTATGCAAGTCGCAAGTGCGCTGATATACGGGATACGACTTCCTCTGCAATGAAGATCTAGATATGTCTGAATAGGTCCGAGTCGGTTCGCGTACAAGAGTCGCGTCGCGTCGCGTCGTCCCCGACTCCCACGGTAGTTGGGAGGAGGGTTCTGTCGGGAAGAAATGGTCGCTCCACCATACAACTCGCTCTCGCCGTGAGAACCTCATGTAAGCAACGGTCCCGACCGGACCGACGCCACTTTCGTTTCGACTTGAAGACAACTGCCCGCACACACCTAACGTGAACGATCAAGTGATGCAAGTGCATAGCATTCGATAAAAGGATGCATTCAAACAAGTGAGGCCAATAGATGAGACTAGTATCTCTGAGCGGCAACTGGTAACTCGAGAAGCCCCTTTAAATACTGATGTAGATAATAAGACAGGACTATATGAATACTGTGTATGTGTCTGTCAAGAGTGGCATTCCGCAGCTTGACCACACACTAGTAATGGAATACTTAATGGTTTCTGACTGGAGTCGGGGATTGGTGCTTGCGCCGCTACGATGTCAATCATGAAGTCCCCTGGTGGACGCGTGGACCCAGAGACCGTCGTCGATTCCGTTACATAATAAACGTTTTACTTA